CGTACTACAGCCCTGATTGGTTATTCCGCTGGTTACGGGGAATAGGTAAGTTATTTCTTCTACAAAAGGGTAGAGGAGATTGATTAATATTGATGTCTTGTTTTGAGACTTCTAATGATAGTCTAGGACTTAAGTAAACTGAAGGCCCACTGTGAGATCACAGATGTGGGTAGGTCAACCTGAGCCTGGTTTAATCTCGAACGGAACAGAACGTTCTATCCGAGCAGCCTGAGATCTAGAAGATCAACAGGGATCCCGCCAACAAGTAGTTGCAAAACCTGGGTCTCTGACCAAGAAGAGGAGAAAAGCGGGAACAGGACTAACCTGTAAGCTTCTAGGACTCTGGAATTCCAGTGAGTAGTGGTGAGAAAGGTGTTCGATTAAGGAACGAAGATGACACTGATTTAAAAAAGGTTATCTAGTTGGGTAGGGGAGCTGACTATAAGGGGTTCTTTGATGAAGGTATCTTTAAGTGAGCTGGCCGGACGGAACTAAAAAGGATTATTCGCTTTAGATGATGAGATCTAATTAGAAAAGAAGTTGTTGTCAAATCAGGTGAGTCCTTTTCTCTCTGTCCAGAGATGATCGTGGTACTTATACCTTTTCTTGGTAAAGGGACAGCTTGTGGTTCATAGTCTCCTTCTCTAGGTTTACTCGTACGCAGCCTGTGGTAGCTTATGGCTTCTTTGGGACTCGTTGTCCTCAAGGACAATGCTAGTAGTAGTTTATTCCTACTCCTCTTATTTCCCTTTTGGGAAGTGGCTCAATATTAATTCCTGGTAGTCGTGATGGTTTCTGACTTCGAAATGAATGGTCGCTTTTTCGTTTCGAGTTTTCATTTTTATTTGGGTCTTTGAAACTAGACCGATAAGTTGAATTTATTATTATTATGTTTTTTTATGTTTTTTTTATGTTTTCTAGTTTTTTTAGTTGTTATAGTTAAATGAGTGCTGTTTCTAAAAAACGTAATGCAAAAAAAAGATTTGGATTTTGTTTGAAGACCTTTGGCGCTTAACAAGGGCTCGAGGTCTGACACAATTTGTGTAGATTTCTTCTTTGAGGATAGCACATCATAATTATGTGTGCGTGTATGTCTGTGGGCTTGTTTCAAACCCCTTGCCGGAAGTTTTAAGTGTCTGTCTTCTTTTGTCTCTTATACACAGCCTCTCTAAAGCTCTCCCTTCCTTCCTCACCATTAGTAATTGATTGCTCAAGAGTAACTCCTTTTATCTTTTTACAACTGTTTTGGTGTTTACTGGATAGTTCTCACAAGTGTCTTGAATATTCCTTTTCTTGCGCCTGCTTCCTGCACTATTGTAAGCAAGGTGTTGAATTCTTCTGCCAAGTTTTCATTTTCACACTTAAGTCTTTTCATAGAGCTCACATACTACATCTATCTGTCCAGGTAAATAGTACTACCTTTATTTGTTTTTCTTTTCACTTTTTAGCTAGTTACCACCCACTTTGGTAAAAAAAGTTGCATTAATAAGTTAATGCAACTTTTACATCACGGTGAGAAATTTTCTCACCGTGTACGTATATGTAAAATCACACAAGAGTTTGATTGTTGGAAACGTTCGGTAACCAGATAGAAAGTGAATTGTGATCAATTTCTCAAGACCATTGATCACAGTGATGTCTGTTATCAGTTGGTAAACAAGATCAATGATTTCATCAAGCTCAATGATCAACCAAATCTCACTCTCCAAGCATCACTCTCAACTTATCATTGTACCAGATCTCACTTGTGAACTACAGTCTTTTATGAACATTTCAAACTTTTGAACGCAATACATAAATGTGATGAAAACAGCTGTAATTAAAAGTTGAATCACAAAATTCAGGTTGGATGGTCAAGAAGCTTGAAGTGGTTCAAATGAGATTAGTTAACAGGTTTTGAATTTGGAAAGTTTGAGAGTGATTGAGGTTGAGGTGATGATGAGTTAATGTTGGTCGTGATAAGAGAGAAAAAACGGACAAGTACGAGAATATCAAGTGATAGGTGGATCACAAGAGAGTGATGCAAGAGGTCGCAGTTGCATTCATTTGAAAACATTTGACTTTTAGTCGTTTTCAAGAATGTGCATGATTTTTGCACATATGTGCAAAAATGCGTGTGCACCTTCTTTCACATTTTGGTTTACCAAATCTGTTTTTTGGGTCACATATGCAACCGAAAATCAGTGCAGCTTTTTGGTGGTGCACAGTCGGTTGCACACGTCACACACCGGTTACCGAAGTGGGTGTACAGTATGACTATTAGCATTTGATTGCTCAAGATTCTTTTTGTTCTCCTACTTCCTGCACTACTGCAGTTAAATTGCTGAATTCTTCCACCAAGTTTTTGTTTTCTTATTTGAGTCTTTTCATAGAGCTCATATACTACATCTTTCTGTCAAGGGTACACACATCTCTAGTGCCAACACCTGAAGCTCCGTGGTACTCCACTTTCTGAGTAAATTTTGTGGCAGTGCAATTTGCTGTTACAGATGAGACTTGCTCCCAATCCACTTTTAAAAAGCACCTGGTACATAAGTCATGCAGCACGGCACCTATTGGAGCCGCTCTTGCTCCACTTCACCAATTTTCAGGGCAAGGGTGTGGCACAACTCACAAGGCAAGGTTATTTATTGATATTTGTTTTGCAATTATACACTGCAAGAAAGATGTAAGTAAGTACAATATGATCAAAGAAAATGGAATCAAGTATCATATGTAAATTGAATATCAAAGAGTGATGAGAAAGATAAATAAGCAATAGAAGGGTAAGAAGTTAATGAGTGACAAGATAAAAGAATGTGAAAGATAAGGTAGGAAATCAGACAAGCAACAAAAGAAAAAAAGAAAAAAATACGGGAAGAGAATATAAAAGAAAGCAGCATGTTGCCATCCTGTATTCAATTTGACTCTCATCTTAACACAGCTATAAAAATCTAGAGTTCCACCTTGATAATTAACACCAAGTTGTAAAACATCACCATATCTTAATGGAAATGGCTTAGTTTCACCACCTGGTGCAGACAATCTGATATGATTCCAAAATATATCAGATGATGATTTAGTATTAGGGCGGTTCAAGTTCAGCCACGCGATCCACCTGGACACCCCGTCGCGATCAGTGTTTTTAGGGTTGTGTGGTCCTTAAAAACCCTGATTGCTAAGTGACGAGCACCCTAAATTTACGGTTTTAAGTTTTGTAAATCCAGGTACACCTTCTCCCAACATCTTTTTTTTCGATTGTTTTTTTTTTCGATCACCTTCGTTTGCCAAAAGACCTGATTGACCACCAAGTTTGATGATCTCGCATCATGAGCGGTCCACGATACCTGAAGAGAAATTACCCACACAAATTACCACCTTCTTCCTCGAGCTTAATCCCAAAGGAACTCATCTCCAGGTCTTCATCGATTTTCTTGCATGTGTGGTTGCACACCTGGACTCTGACATTCGACTAGAAGAAGATATCAACAACCCGACCGAAGGCAAGCTCCTATTCAATGACAATCCGGAAATGGCTCAAATTTATGATGCTGTCTTTGATCTCGAAGAACAGTGGGGCGCTCTTCTGGGACATGTCTTCGCGCGACGCTACCTTAATGAACGTCTACGCATGCTTCCGCCGACCTCTTTTGACCTGCGAGATATGCTACGAAGCCGAAGGACTGATTTCAGACAGGCGATGCGTACGACGCCGGAGGGATTCAACGCCCTGCTGTGTATTATCAGTAATCACCCAATCTTTGTCTCATCCAGTAACAACCCTCAGCCTCCGGTCGAAAAGCAGCTCGCCATCACCCTGGAAAGACTCGGTAGCAACGGAAACGGTGCCTCCGTGGGCAGGTTTGCGCGTAACTACAAAGTAGGACGAGGTTCAGTGATTAATTGTACTCGGCGTGTGATTTCGGCGATTCTGGATGTCGGCGCCCACTACCTCGCTTGGGCACACGAACATAGACGCCAGGCAATATCTCAAGTGTTGGAAAGAGACGGCTTCCCAGGTTGCGTTGGCTTTGTAGACGGGACAACTATCCCAGTTTTTCAGCGACCTGGAAGAGATGGCGAGGTTTTCTTTGATTGAAAACATCGCTACTCAATCAACGTACAGATAATATGTGACTGCGATTGGCGTATCATATACGCTTACGGAGGATGGCCGGGATCATGTTGCAACAGCACGGTATACTCAAAAGCTGAGATTGCCAATGATCCTAAGAAATATTTCAACCAAGGTACGTCTATATCTTCATATCATTCGTGGTGACGTAGCTTATTTGGTTCTTTCACAGGAGAATATATACTGGCCGACTCTGCTTACATCCCATCCGAAAACGTGGTTCCTTCCTACAAGGGCCAGGCTGCTGAGGTGGACAGAAACAAGGAGTTCAATTGGTGTGTGGCCAAAGCTCGAGTACGAAACGAACATTGCATTGGCATCCTCAAGTCGCGTTGGGCCTCACTGCAAGTGCTACGATTGGGATTGAACAGTCGCGAGGACATGTTCCACATCCTCAGGTGGTTTCGTGTCTGTATGATATTACATAACATGCTCGCCGACCTTGGGAACAGTTGGAACGAGGAAGAATTCGATCGCTTATTGATTGAACCGGGCGAGGCGGGGCGATTACAAGCAGTTCAGGTCGCAGACCTCGAGGTGATTGAAAGAGGCCGAGCGACGCGGGAGATGGTACGTGACCTCGCGGTTGCCTACAACTGGGAGAGCGGGGTCCTTCCAATTGTTCATTGTTGATTCTTGAAATCTTCTTATTTTACTTTCATTTGGCCACTTTGTTTTGTGTCTCCTTAAGTTGAACCTGAGCGTGTCAAGTTTTTATTTCAAGTTTGATTATCTTCTTCGGTAGTTTTATTATCTCATTTATATAGTCTTATTATCTGTTTATCGAATTTTTGTATTCCTTATTTGGTTGTCTGATCGGTTTCTTACTATGGTTGTCATGTTTTGTTTTTCCAAGCTCTGGTCTGTGGATGGCGCAATCCAAAGTCTATTTTTTCGCTGTCCAAATGCTTGAATGTGGGTTACCCATTTGAAAACTCTTAAGTCTAAATATCATTCCAAGGACAAAGTCTAGAGAATTTGCAAACTACAGAAGTCTAGAGAATTGCAAAACTACAGTGGCAACTCTAAGGAGCAGAGGTCATGTTGAAAGAATGACGCATGATTCTAAGGACAAATAGGGAGCAGTGGTCATCTTGAAAGAATGGCGCTTTCGTTCTTTCTTATCTTCTCTTTTGGCATGTAAGGATTTATGACAAGAAACGTTTTGTCAAATTGCAACTGAAGACATTGAACCAAACACATGAGGAAACAAACAAAAACTTAAACAAAAACTTGAAACTTCTTTTGTTCGACACCGACAGAAAGCGAGACGAAGAAACATGAAACCAAGAAAAAATACAAAACGAAGAAACATGAAACCAAGGAAAAATACAAATTGGTTTGGTTAGAAACCAAGACAAATTACAAACTTGTTTGGTTTGACACTGAGAGGAGGCAATCGAGACAAAGGAAAAACAATTGTAAAGAACAACATCGATTTCCTATCGATTACCTAACAATATACAATGATGAATGATCAGATTCAAATACAAATCAAGCGCAACCATACAATGAATCACACTTACTTATCGACTGACATAGGATCCTCAGATGGATATACGACCCTGAGGAAAGCTTCAAGTTCCTGAGGGCTCTTGCCTTCCAAGACCAATCTTTCGCAGAAAGCCTTGCGCTCCTTTTGTGACTCAAGTGCCAACCGACGTAATTCAACATTTCGTTGTTCCTCACGATCCATAAAATACTTCTCCTTTGCCCAGCTGAGGTCAGAATTGCGAGAGTCCAATTCTGCTTGAAGGCGGTTCGACTCAACCTGTTGTCGCATTGTGTTAGCTTGGGTTATCATCAACAGCTTCGCCTCGTTGCCTTGTTGAATGACGTTCGCAAGCGCGTGTTTGTTGTCCTTACTGTGAACTTGGGAGGGGTCAATCGAGGGCAATGGTTCCAAGCCTCGGCGAGCAAGTGCCGGTCGTGTTCCTCCCCTTTTGATCTCAGTCACCGTCGTTGCCGGAGTCGTCACAGTGGTGGTAGTAACATCGGCCTCGTCTTCAGAAGAATCTAGGGCGCGTTCTTCAGGAGTTAGAGTGTGCGATTTTGAGCGGTGTTTCTTTGGAGGCTTGCGCTGCTTGCCAAGCGCGAGCGTATTCAAAATGGAACGGCTCGACTTGGCAACGCAGGGTCCAGAGGCAGAGGTTTTCACGGATGATGGCCGTGGGTCATCGTCAAGGATGGGTGGTTTTGAATGAGGTATGGGTGTTGTCTTGGCAGCTTCGGCGGACGTAGATGCTTGGGCGTCCAAATGGGCCTCGCGAAAAATTGGCTCCTGATCCGATTCAAAGATATCATCGTATATTTGAGATGGACTTTGCAAAAAGGGGGCTCCAGCCGCAAATAGAAACAATATCAGCAATAAGTTACGTTAATCCGTACAATCCTTTGTACCTTGCTCACCTTGCTGATTTTCAGCACTGTGATCATGACTGTCACTAGTGTCATTGTCTGTCTCGACAGAGTCCTGAACCTTCGCAGCCATGCCACCAGATTCCTGGACCTTCGCAGCGATGCCATCAGCGTCCTGAACCTTTGGAGGGATGCCATCGTTATCGGTAATGCCATCATCATCGGTGTCCTCCTCAATATCATCCTCAGGCCCCGCACCGGTATCGAAGATACCAAAAGGCGTGACGTTGCCTTTGTCGCGAAAAACGACATCCATTTCTTTGAAAAGGGGACACATCGAGTCGAGGAGGTCGCTCATTGAGGTAATACCATCGGCACGATTCTTGGCCGAAAGGCCACTGCCGGTCTTGAGGCTGAAAGCTTTTGCAGCGTGGTATTTAGCGCGGTAGCGTTTGATACGCAAGTGAAGAATCCGGCCGGTCAAACGCATGTGGGTCGTATTGTGTCGCATGTTGTAGTAGTGGTTGATTTCCATCGCCAAAGGATTCAACAAAGACCTTGGGTTCATTGGCATGCCGGATACCTTGGTTTGACTGCCACCGCCAAAGAGAGCATTGCGGATCGTTGGTTTCGAAAGGTATGTGATGATAGTTTGGTAATCGATGCGATCCAAAGTCGGGCTATCCCTAGAGTTTTTCGAAGAAGGCGCCAAGGAAACACTTCAAGCACGTGCAACTGCTGCTAATCTTGAACGCTTGACGGCAGCAGCAGTAGGTTTCGAGGCCACCGGCAGGCCAGACGCTATCAGGTCAGCTTCGATTTGGGCCCTCGTTCGACGAGCCCTAGGTGCCTACAACAAATAATCAGCATAGTCAGTGGATGAAAATTGCAGAGTACTCGATCCTGGACTCACCTTGCCAATTGGCTGAGATTGAACAGGAGCAGGCATTTCGAGACGAACTTCAAGATAGAGCCGGGTAAAAGGCGAGGCAAGAACCAGCGAGATGAAGCGAAAGGACTAAGTAAAATGAAATGAAGGTCCCAAGAATCGCGTAGGAAAATTTGATCACTATAAGAAAAGATTCGCGCGGGAAAGAAATGATCAAGCAGCAATTTGGATCGCTTGTCAATCAGAAAAAGAAAGGAATATAGATGAGAAAACGAGGGAAAGGTTTGGAGTATGAAAGACCGTCTTTTGAACCAAAGGAATCTCGATGTCATGTAGTCCTTATCCTGATATGAAGCGGTCGGCTTGAAGCTTGTGTCGCGTCAATTTGATAGTCCTGATCGATCCAAGTTGTGTTGCGTAAGCGATTATATGATATCCATGTGCGTGCGAGTCCTGAATCTAGTCCTGATCAAAGTGCGGTAGGCGATGGGGTGAAAACCAGCGTGCAAGTCCTGAAAGGATAGGATAGGAGATCCAAATGAAAAAGTGAAAGGGTAGGATGGGGAACCGAGGTACGCGGGCAGAGGCCGGGAAAAATCGATTTTGGCCAAACGATGTACAAATCATTATGTTAATGAAAGAGAAACTAAGGAAAAAAAACGGTGAGAAAAAAAAACTTCAGGAACATCTTCAAAAAAGAAGACCGTGGAAGCAATTCCTTTTTTTTCCTTTTTGTACCTGGTACTTTAAAATTTTTAAGGACGCTGAGGTGATTGCAAAACAGTGGACCACCTTTAGAGGTGGTCCACAAACGTAAAATTTTACTTATAATTTACAGGTCCCGATCCAAACTTAAATTTTAAAAAAAGGCTGTAAAAGCCCTTCTTGAACCGCCCTATTTTTAACAAAGAATTAACCAGATTTATCTGTAAAGATATCAGCATGACTTCTTGAGACTATTATTATTAAGATCAATTTCATCACTGAGCAGACTACAACATGTCAATTGTTCAATCTTTAATGAAGTAGATGCTGCTATATTTTGTCCAATTACTTCAAAATGCAATGACCTGGTTGCATCAAGATGGGTAACAAGCCTGATAATAGAGTGTCTGTCAGCCCTCAAGGCCACAAGAGCTTCAGCACACAAGGGCTTATAAATCATTAAGAAAACATATAGAAAGATAATTTAAAATACATCACACCTTGCGTCTAGTTTCAAAGACAAAAATCAATATCATAAAACTGTCATAAACTACTCAACAGCATTTCTCAACAATAAATTCACCTTGCGTCTAGTTTTGAAGATGAACACTAACAATGAACTTTAAAAGGAAAAACTCCCTCAGCAGAAAGGATCCTTTGTAAAACCACTACCAAGACAACTAAGGTACAACCTAAGAACCAACTAAGACAAAACCTTTAGAGATAAAATCTAACTACAAGTTTTCACATAATACAATCCCAAAGTGGAAAGATAACATGAACATAGTAAGAAGACTTACTTGTGCCAAAGCAGGAGGACCCTGTTAGTCTATGGCAAACTTGCTTGTCCCAAAGCGGAACAAACCACGAGTTGGCCTGGGGTGGTGGGTTAAAGTACATGTAAATTTTGTCTATATTTTCTTCAACTTGCGGTTGAGCATTGCTAGTTAGTAGACATCAAATGTCATCCAGGGATTTAAGGCCCATCTTTTGTATGGCTACAGGAAGTAAAAACTCTTGTGATTCTATTCACAGGGGCAAAAATTGATGCTCACAACTATGTGAGCGTTGAAATGTTCCTGTTTTGTTCCCATTTGTTTCCTATTTGTTTCCAATTTGTTTCCCATTTGTTTCCCATTTGTTTCCTATTTGTTTCCAATTTGTTTCCCATTTGTTTCCCATTTGTTTCCTATTTGTTTCCAATTTGTTTCCCATTTGTTTCCCATTTGTTTCCTATTTGTTTCCAATTTGTTTCCCATTTGTTTCCCATTTGTTTCCTATTTGTTTCCAATTTGTTTCCCATTTGTTTCCCATTTGTTTCCCATTTGTTTCCCTTTTCTTTCTGTTTGTCAGCTGATTACGTGATCATCAGGAACTGAGCAGACAAACTAAGCCTTCCTCAGCATTTATTCCTGAGCAAAGAAGTCTGAGGAAGGGCTGATCCATCTGCTCAGCTGATCCTGAGCGGCATTCCCTGGTTCAGTAAGTTCCAAGGGATGCCACCAATGTATAGCTTAGGGGCTGAGCTGAACTGAGTATTCCCTTAGCTAAATCTCTGAAGTATCCCCCAGATGGATCACAGAGCGCCAAGCTTGCCTCAAGCTTCATGGCTCCGGAATGAAGCCTGAGGCCCGTCTGCTTGTTCAACTGAGCTGCTCAGTTATTCCTCAGGGGCATCCCTGAGATCAGGAGGATCCGGAGGATTTCACTGCTCATTGGATGAGGGGCTGCTCAGTTATTCCTCAGGGGCATCCCTGAGATCAGGAGGATCCGGAGGATTTCACTGCTCATTGGATGAGGGCCTGCTCAGTTATTCCTCAGGGGCATCCCTGAGATCAGGAGGATCCGGAGGATTTCACTGCTCATTGGATGAGGGCCTGCTCAGCTAGTCCTCAGGGGCATTCCTGGCCAGATCAGAAGGATCCAAAGGATGTCACTGAGTATTGGCTGAGGGGCTGCTCAGTTGATCTCAGCCCCTCAGTGTGAAAAACTTTATCCGGGGATATCACTGAGGATTAGCTGAGCAATGAGCAGATGGGATGACGCTTTTATCAGGCTTCATTCCTTAGCAAGGAAGTCTGAGAAAAGTCCGGCCCATCAGTGATCCAGTCAGGGGATGCTACTGAGTATTTGCTGAGCAGCTCAAATGGGACGCCCCTGGGCAGGCTTCTTCACTGAAAAATGAAGCCTCAGGAAGGTATAGTTCATGTGCTCATCTTCATTTTGAACAAATTGCTGAGTATTCAGTGCCTCATGAGCTGATCCTGAGTACTCATTGGGAATCAGTTATTGCTCATCCAAGATGGAAATGAGCCTTCTCAGGGGTTCTCATTCTATAGCTGGATATACTTGGTAATTTTGTCTTCAGCTTTCTTGCAAGCAAGTCCCCAAGCCACTGTTGCAGCTTTATTTTTTTTGAGGAAGTGTTATAGCGCCAAAAGGACTGAAAGCACATACTGCTTGCACAGTGTGTTGGCCTGAAATACCTGTTTAGCTGAATCAAATTATTTTCTGATTGGTTGCATGAAATCAATAGCTGACCAATTAATGAAGAGAGGGCCAGTTTGATGCTCTTGCTGCCCTTGGTGTATCTCCAGAAGATGGAGTTTCAGGGTGCATATGATCTACAAATCATCATAAAACCCATGACAGCTTGGCAATCAAAGGCAGTTTCAGAGGCATGAGATAACAACTTACAGTATATTAAACGCAATACCAGAGAGTAGGTGGGTATTTCACAAGAAGCACCTTTGGATCACCCACTGAATCTTGAATTTTAGAGGCTTCAAGCTCTTGTGGACTCCTTTAAACATATGTGTCTAAGGCCCAGATGCAACTCCCAATGGGCTTACAAGCTCATTTGGTTCAAACAAATCTTGAATAGAGGCCATTCCATACAGTTCAAATTGGGCTAAATCTTTGATGGTCATTTCCCCCATCCCTTCGATAAAATACTGTGCAACAAGGTTGATGTTGTGGAAAGCACATTGATGAAATTAGGCTTGGGTGGGCCGGGCCATAGCCCTAGATTGAAGGAAGTCACAGACCCAGTTTACCCCACCTGACCTTTCTTCAATTGTGGTTTACTTACTACGGTGGCTGAGGAGCGCCAGTTGTGCCAAAACAACAAAATGTCAAATCACCCCATTTTTACCTCAATTGAGGCCCCGTCCAGCCTGTTAGGGCTGTCACTTCCCAACTCTGGTCGCCCTCTCACTTGCCAGGCTATCCCTTTGTATCCTACACAAGCATGGACCTGTGTATAAGGTATTGATTAGCATTTTTTGAACTTGAAGTTCTGGTTCAAGAAATCTATACGATACCGTGCTTATTGTTTTCATTGTGTCTATTGTTCTTATCTTTGATCTTATGTTTTTGCTACATTTTTGATATCTTCATGTTAGATTGATCATCCTTGTTACATTTATCATTCAGGGAGCTCCATTACTCTTGACTGCAGCACTCAAGGCTCTGGTTGCGATAATCACTGCGCAAACCTCACCATGAGCTCGCTGATATGTGCTGCACGCGATCTGGACACGCGAGAGAAGCTTGGTAACCGGTGCAACGAGGCCTGTAAAAAATGTGCCCTAGGTTGAGAGCTGCTCAGCATTGTTGTTGCAAAAGTCAACATACCGGAAGAAAACTGATGACGGGCGTGATGAGTTTACTACAAGAGTGTGGGTGTAATCTTTCACATGCTGAAGGGTTAGTTTCACGAGCTGCCATTTTCAGCAGATGCTGAGGAGGCTCCCGGGCTAATCGCTAATCGAATAGCCGATACCGTGGAGTACCAGTCCGAGCGGGCTGGACAGGGCCCTAATCGGGGCAGAAAAGGGGCAATTTGACATTTTGTCGTTTTGGCGCAACTGGCGCTCCTCGGCCACCTGATCAACTCACTTCCTCGGGGCTGCACTCTTCAAGGTCCCTCAGCATTTCAAGCAACGGTCTGATCTCCACAGATCTCCACTCAGGAACCCTTCCACTTTTCAACCTCACCTCCTCAGCGAATATCAACATGAGCTCCAAGCGAATCCATCTCGTTCGACACGCGCAAGCCGATCATAAGTAATCCAATCACACTCATTGCCTTCGTAGAGCAAAACATTGACGTGTGATATTTTTGTTTTACCAGCGTCGACTTTGACAATCATAGTTTTCCAGATGCGGCCTTAACACCTACCGGCAAAGAACAATGCATCGGATTGAATGAAAGGACTTCAATGAACATACAGAAATCTGCCCAACTCCTAGTAACATCCCCCTTACGACGCACGCTTCAGACAACCTTGATAGGCTTCCCCCAACTCATACATAAACTAGGTGGTCGCAGTGCCATTATTGCGCTGCCACAACTTCAAGAGAACGGATGTTCGCCTGCCGATACAGGTAGCTCACGTTCGGAGCTGGAGGGGGACAAGGAATTTGAGGGTATCGACTTTAGTCTGTTAGCTGACGGATGGAATTCCAAATCTGGCGTCTGGTCATCCGACAAGCATTCCTTGAAACACCGAGCGGGATGGACGCGGACGTGGCTTGCTGCGCGACCCGAAGAAGAAATTGTCGTCGTCTCTCACGGCGGTGCATTGAGATATATAACGGAAGACTATGCTGGCGATGAAGTAAGCTCGTACAGCATTTCTTTGAGCTTTTGAGCCACTGTCGGCACTCATCTAACAGCCGCACCTGACTCAAGTTTTCTTCTGTTATCTACTTTCCCGGTTTAGCCTTGGGGTAACACAGAGTACAGAACGTACACCGTTTCCAATGAATTGTCCAAGTATGGTGGTCCTAAATTGATCTTAGCAACTCCTCAAGCTAGCCTTTCATGATGGATCTCATCCTCCGATAACACTCATCTCTGAGACCCTCTCTCTTTGATTGTATATGCTTTCCACACCTTTCAGTCTTGTACAATTGTAACACCACATAGCTTGAACTCGGATGCATGCCAACTCCTTCGGTCATAATCTTTGAAAGTACATGGCCTGTAGCATACTTTGGAGTAAAGCTTGGAAGCTTTGGTCCTCAAAGACCGATTTGTTGACTACAGCAACACAATCAAGAGAAAAAGCTCAATCATTTTCGAAAGACCCGTATGCAATCACGTTTCCAAAGGTCTGATCTCTGTTCAAGTTTGTTTTCTAAAAAAGATCATACACCTATATATATTTTTGGTGCAACCCAAGTCGCAGGCACAGTTCTTGACGGAAAGGGTGTCCATTTATGCCTTACATCTTGAATCGTGTAATCATGGTTCTCCCATTGGTTTTGTCAAAACCACTGTTATTTTCATCAGACTCTCAGGGAGTTTGGGTTACAGTGATATAACTCTTCTTGCTATCTTTGGATGCAATACAATACCATATAGTGGGCAAACCGGAGACCGTGTAACAATCTGCTCCGCATAGGTCTGATGGTCCAAAATTTTCTATGTTTTTGATTATTGTGAGCCTAAATTTTCTACCAATTTCACTTCACGTGGCACCCCCTCCAAACATCCACCCCAGTTATACCACAATTCATTTTAATATCAACATGGTTGTCTCAGCTGTTATGAGGGCTCAAAGAGAACAATCACAAAGTGAGGCAAAGCAACATGATCTGAAAAGTTTGGCAGCCAAGAGTGCCCAGCAAGAGCAAAGAGCCCAAAAGGCAAATGAAATCTGTCAGAAGGATCTGGCTTCCAGCCCTGAACCTATCAAGATAGGTGACTCTGACTCACACAAAGGTCCCTTGGATGATGATAATGAAGCTAGAGTCTTTGTTGATCCCAAAAAAACCATCAGATCACATGATCCTGTTGAGCCACAGATTTACTTGACTCAGTTGAAGAGGAAGGCAATGATGCACTTTATCTGGTTGAGGAGGAAGCCACCTATTTACTTGATCAAGTTGAGAAGAATGAGCTCAGAGTGCTTTGGTTGATTGAGAACAACTCGGCCAACAATGAAGACAAAGCTGAATATGAAGAAAAATCCTGAAAGGCTCCCTCTGGCCAGTCTATCATAAGAATGCACACATTGAAGCTCCAAAAGTCCAGCACTTGAAAGAAAAGAAATTAAATGGCAACGTTGTTGGCTATCAAAAACCACAGACCAATCAAAACAGCAAAAAGCCTAAACCTGCACAAATCCCCAAGCAAACTGCTCACTTGCAATGTGGCAAACAAAAGAAAGAAGCTGGATTTAACAATGTGCAATTCTATCTTGTTCAACCTGTCTCAAAGGATCCATCACCTCAACCTGATATCATAACTCAACCACACACCACATCACATCCACCTCCAAATTTTGATGAAGAATAGCATTCTGTGATCAATAGCCAATCTGATGCGGAATCTGACAAGGAATGTGAATTGTGTCTTTAGAAAAAGGTTGATGGTTATTGGACAGCAACATCAAAAAATGATAGGGTATTACAGTAAAAACAACAGTCCAAAATGGCTTCTATTGAGCAACAGTGACAAGAACTTGATGGCGACCTCAAGCAGGCAACTAATGATTATAAAGAAGAGCAAAGGAAAGACCCCACCTTTCAAATCCCAACAGCTGAGAGGGAAGATCCACAAACTCAACACACACCATACAGATGGAAATTTTGGGGTCAAAGTCCCCTGCAGTTGCAGCTTCACTAATGACTGCCAATTCATCAATCAGAAAAGCATTCAAATACACTCATCCCTCATCAAAGTTACCACTCACAGGATTAGTGTTAGAACCTGGGGTGCTTGGAGATGCAAGAAACAATCACAAGGGTGATCTGGATAACTAGATGAACTGCTAAGTGAGGAAACAGTCTACAAGTATGAGGATTAGACTAGAAGACAACTCAGTTCAGTACAAGCACATGTGGTTTAGTGTGTAAGCATTGTACGTCTCAGATCATAACAATTAGGCCAGTCTTGGTACATTCAATCTCAAGCAAACAATCTTCTCAGATTCAAAAGCCTTCTACAATCAGCACAAGTTAATAAATCACTCTGCTATGTACAGTCGGTGACAAAACGTTTACGTACCTGTACCATAACTCACCAATTTGGTAACTCTCAGCAAGCTTATCTAGATCTCAATCTCACTACTACTTTACCTGAAAGTACATGGTCTGGATGGCCACTGATCAGAGTACATATGAATGAATTTCAGGATTTAAAAATGTAATATAGACTCTGAAATACAACGACTTTTACCAGTGAGTGTGTCTGCCCTCTGCTTTGAGCACAGCCTTGATTCAATTGGGCATGGACTCAACTAAAGCTTGAAACTTGCTCTGAGGGATTGCTTTCCACTTGGTATACAGTGCTTCACACATTTCTTGAACGGTTCTAGGTTGATGCTTTTCCAAGATTTTTTTTTCATGATGTTCCAAATGTTCTCCATTGGGTTAAGGTCTGGACTATTTGCAGGCCAATCTAACTTTATAATTGAATGTTCATCCCTCCATTGTATCACAACTTTGCTTGTGTGTACCGGGGCTCCATCCTCCATCAAGATGAGGTCTGGTGGACAGTTAGGTGAGGTGATGAGTGGTTCAATAATCCAATGATACGCCAAATCGATAAAGTCGGCTCCAGTTCAACGTCCTACCGGCATTACTATCATTGGTAAGCGAACTTCAGCTGTGAAAGCCCATCATATCATAACTGAAGTCCTTCCACTCTTGAAACTTGGGGCCAAACAGGTTTGTTGTATTTTTCACCCGGTTTGCGCCACACCCAAACCTTCTTTGCAGACTTTCTGATTTTGAATGAGGATTCATTGGTCCAAATGACCTTCTTCCAATTGTCGTAAGTCCAATCCTTGTGTTTCCTAGCAAACTCAAGATACTTCAGAATGTGTTTGCTCTTGAGATAAGGCTTGACTACGGCAACTTGAGAGTGAAAGCCAAGTCGCCAAATCTTGGATCAAACAGTTGATATACTGGCTTTTATGGGCAGCTTGCTAGCGATAGAGGCAGCCAAAGCATGTTGGTTTTGTTGGATCACCTGCTTCAAGGTTTGCTGATCACATTCTGAGAACTTTTTTGGTTGTCCGAGTGTTTTTGAGATGGTTGATTTGCGTCTTTTGCAGTCATTGTAGATCACTGTGTAGACATTTGACTTGTGATGGCCAAGTTTCTTGGCAATTTGAGTGCCAGGAATCCCAATTTTGTGCATATAAATGATAGATTTCTTCCAAGTGGGAGAAAGGGTGCAATTCTTGATTTTCAGAGGCATTCTGGATGAGAGGTGGAGAAGTTATCCAAGATACAAATTCCCATAGACTGGGCTACACTAATACATATGTATTCAAGGTACATAAACTTTTTGTCACCAACTGTACAGGTGACACATCAACTGTTCCTTCACCAACCCATTAGCATGATTCTTCCTCAGGCCAGTTACAAGGACACAATCTCACAGGTTAAAGCTTATAAATGGATGAAGAAACTAGGTTTTCAACCGCAGGTGTATCACAGGTCTTGATCATACTTTGATGGCCATGAGCAGCCTGATATTATTGCTGTAAGATTTTGACAAAAGCTGAAGCTTGATGCTCTGAAACAAAACAAACAACCTTTATAAAGTTGAAGATATATGTTCAGCTACTTGTTGACTAGACACAAGCTGACAACAAATGAGACAAGTTCTAAACTTGATCACAGACCTGTATGAGGTAACATGGATGATGAAGAAACTTTACATAGAATCTTTTTCCACAATGTTAATTACTACACCCACTACTACTAACCTTTATAAAGGTGAAGATATATGTTCAGCTAAGTGTTGACTAGATGTGGGCTGACAACAAATGAGACAAGTTCTAAACTCAATAACAGACCTGGTTGAGAGAACATGGATGATGAAGAAACTAAGATAGAGAAACATAAAAGCGGATATGAGAGAAAGTAAGAAAAATTTGTAAGTGTAAACAGTAAGAGCACCCACTATGGTAGAGGTGTTTTATTGTAATTTTTACAGTCCTGACCGCAAAAATTAATCATGCGTGTAACAACTAAATCAGTTACCACATGAAATTCACTATGGGGTGATTTACCGTGTGATTTACCAACAATAAATCACTATGAATCAAGTGATCCCACAGTGGAAAAGTCACAACTTGAAAGATCATATCTATTTCAAATAATACATCCAAAAAAAACATCTTGATATCTACTTCAATGAAACAAGCAATCAATGCTCTTTTGAATACTATACTATAGTGTAGTGGTAGCCTTGGGTGGAGGAGAAAGATGCATAAAAGATAAAACATGAAAGACACTGTCACAAGTTTACAAATCACATAAAACATTAAAACAAACAGTCTACCCCTTCACTAATCCAAATGTGGTAAGGACATTCTTTACTTTCCTAATTCTCATCACAATCTCAGCCTTCAGTTGGTTGATTGTTTCCATCCAATCTTAATCCGTCCAAGTCAATCTCTTGCCCACCGTTTCAATGGTTATTACCCAAGAATAACATTCTCCAACAAATACTCATCAAAAATAGTTCTTGAAAATGGTTTCTGAGCTTCAAAAACAGTCATGTTTGAAGGCGGTATTTTTTTATCATAAAAAGTCAATCATTTGTGCAAATGAACAACCACAGTTGTCATGGCTCCTACCAATTAAAAACAAGTTTCAACTCAAAAGTGATGATCAATTAATCCACATATCCAACTTCATTCTTGAAATAACTGCCTTACTCTTACTTTTGAACAGCAACTTCAAATCAAATATCTGCTCACACAAACAGAACCATTTAAGATACACTACCCTACTATTACCAATTGATGACCCAAAAGTACCTCAAGATCTTTGAGGCCTCCCTGCCAATCATACAAATTTGTCTCTTGCTGGCAGACCAAAAGGTGTTCAGTAAAGAACATAGATCATGGGATATCTATAAAAAGGATGTCATTGGTAAGACTCTTTTGAAGTGTCCAAAATTCTAGACATCTGGTTTAGCTCAAGATACAAAGATCTGAGTGGGATGATTTATGAAGGAAGCTGAAGAGCAGGATTGTTTTTTCAATGAGCAAGATAGTACCCCTGCCCCAATTGATCCACTCAAACAATGTGTTGTGCCTCAAGAATTGGCCCCTTTTAAATACCGTCATTGAAGCCCCCGGTCACATCTCCCTGGTTCTTGCCAAATTGCATTGTGAACTTAAGCTGATCAAGAGATTTTGGGATTATATCAAGTGTGATAGGGTTTCTCTCATCTCATATTTATCTCTTTATAGGCTGGCCTTTAATCTTTTTCATTTCAAGACAAGGTTAATCTACTGTTGAGGTGGCAAAACTTGTGAAGTGGTATTCTTCCCATTGAAGCATTCCATGGAATGCTGCAATGAGAATTGATGTTATTGAAACCTAACAGTCCTCTCAAGTTGTAATGTGATTCTAATTCATTTCATCTCTGTATTGGCTTTTTTGTTTTGCAATTGATAGCCTTATCAAGGGTGCAACTATACTATACCGGTATAGGTATAGTTGGGTATAGTATTGTTTTCACCATACTATACTATACTGGGTATAGTATAGTTGAACTATACTTTACCCAAATATACTCAGTATAGTATCCTTTCACCAACTATACCTGGAAAAGTGTTATATATGTTTTCCATCAACTTATCCAACTATACTGCACAGTATAGCTTGGTATATCTGAGTATAGTTCATCTATACTATACCGAGTATAGTTCAAGTACAGTATAGTTTGACTATACTATACCAAGTATAGTCAAGTATAGTATAGTATAGTATAGTTGCAGCCTTGGCCTTATAACACTTTGAGGATCAAGCAGCCACCACTTACAGCTTAAGGTGCATAGGCCAGAACCTATTAAGTCACAAGAGCAAGTCTACTGCTCATGCTCATGACTTTAAGGTAATAATATCATGAGACAATGGGCAATCAGCAGGGAACCAATGTACTTATTATATACTATATATTGATAAAGTACAAGTAGGATCTTCAGAGAGTACACATGAAGCTCTCCAGTTTTGTTTGCTGTGGCACACGACTTTTCAAAAAAAGGTACAATCATTCTCAAAATGGGTGTACCTTACATGAGTCAAGCTCAAACATTCATGTTACAGTCAATTTGAGAACAATTGTTTTTTTTGAAAAATACATCCTGGTGCAAAACTGGGCTTTCTTGCTGACTGAGTTTTGCTTCTCTGCTCATTTTGAGAATACAAAGAATACAAAACTTGTACAAACATGTTTTGGTTGGTTTTGACCACTGTGGCAACACAACTTTTTGAGAAAGACAAAATCATTCTCAAATTGGCTGGAAGTCACTCATCATCCAGTTGCAAGGTCTAATTTGGGTTTTGCTGGGCAGATTTTTACAGTCTTGGGTTAGCCCTCTATATGTGCAATAATCTTACCATGATTCAATAGGGTTAGCTCTTTGTACAATTCAAGTGGTTCAACATGCTGTTTGATCTCAGCAGTGGGTTTGGATGACGTTACATCAGATACAGTATCTCACAAGATCTGTCAAATCTCACAACAGTGTTTGTATGAAACTACATTTGTGATAGCCCTTTGTGTATCCATAGCTTCAACATCAAGAAATGGGACTTAAAACTCACTGCCTTATTGGTATAAAAATACCAAACAGAAATCAAGTCTTTGGTGTAAAACCCAAGGCGTAAGCCAAGAGGGATAATATTGAATGAGAACACACCCTACGGGGTGGCTAGCAGCATATGACGGGAGTACTACCTAAAGCAAATACTAACCAAACGTAAATAAGAAAAAGAAGATGAAAAAATAAACCAATATCACAACATAAAATGAATATAACCAGTGAAACCGCATAACAAATCTTTTTTTAGAAATAAAGGATAACATAAAGACCAACTCAAAGATAAAATGAGAGATAAAATGAAAAATAATATGAATAAATAAGTAACTAAATTTGACAAAAGAAAAATAAGAAGATAAAAAATAAAATAACCAAAAACCAATGACAATAGATACCTTGCTAAAAAATTCCTACAGGAATGGGAGGGAGGGTCGAAAAAATCTTAGAACCTTCAAGTAGTTGAATAATACTGATACAGAACAGGATTGTTGATAATGGTGAATACAAAGCTTAAGGGAAGTTGAGAATGGATGTGGTAAACAGCTATGATATTATAGCTGTGGAATTAGATGTTCTAGAAAAGAACCTGACCCATCAGTACCATACCACATGTAACATCTCAACTTCCCATTCCACTTTGTTAATAAAAGCTATTGTCTTACAAAACCAAAATAATCTCGATTCTTCTCCAAATTTCTTAATGAATTCTTCAATGTAAGCTTGGTACAGTCATAATTCTTCTACATGCCAAAAGCAATCTCCTTTCTCCCCCGTGACACAGGCTGACTCTAAGATAGGTGGTTAGGAGGGGGTATGAAATGCCTGCTCAGCTCTGAGGAGACCCCAAGAAGTTAGCTGCTATATGACTTTGAATTCCACTGGCTTCCTTAATTGGGTGTGCTTCCACAAAGGTGTGAAAGTTCAAAGGTTCACCACTTCCTATGGGTGTGCTGAATACACAAAGGTGAATTCCCAAAGCTTTTTCAAAAATATTCCTCCTAACATTCACAAGGATAAGCACGCTCAAAAAAAATCCAAGGCGACCGGACAGAAGAAGGTAAAAAAAGACCAACTACAATACTAAAGACCGCGACACTCCTTGCCCCCACTAGATGGCCGTATTTCAAGGTCAAATAAGTCTCCACTAGTGTTATAGTAACAAAACCAAATGCACAAAAAAACAATTTATAAATCAGAAAACATCAGTGTTTCTTTTACCCCAACCCCAGCTGCTTGTCCGGACGACCTATCGGTAAAAGGCCCGGACCGACTCGACCCGAGTGGAGACATTCTTGGTTCGAGTTGTATGCATGAGTTGGTGGCTTCGATGTTCAACTGAGCTCTCGCAATACATCAACCTCGACCCCTCACCCTTCCTGCAATCATCTCCAATCCTAAAGACATTCACACCTGATCAGAACATAGGGGACTTTCAATAATGGCCGAGATATGGACTGAGATACGGAAGATTCCTGTTGTCACAAGAACTCTAGTTGCTTTAGCCCTGGGCGTCACTGGACCAGTTGCTCTTGGGATGCTTGATCCGTACTACGTGTAAGTGAGTTACGCCTATGGTTCAGCATGCACTTTTCCCGGCGTCTTTTTTGGAAATTATGTCGTGGGCCTCCAACTAACTTTCATTGACCACAATTTTCAGTCTGTGGTCCAGCAGGCATATTCTCAAGAATTTGGAGATATGGCGAGTCATCAGTAAGTCGTGACACAACCGACCTTGATTGCCATGTTGTAGCCTCACCAAGGATGGCCTCCCGTAGCACCTTTTTTCTTCGCTGGCTCTGGCATGCAGCTTCTTTTCGATTCGTTCCTACTCTATCGCAATTCGATAGCTCTAGAAACTCAATCCTTCGCAGGACGTTCGGCCGATTACGCCTGGACATTGATATGTTTGATGGGTGCGGTGGTGGGCACAAATTATCCTCTGAACAGTGTGATATTCTGGGGTCCAATGATGAGTGGACTAGGATTTCTGGTAAGTTTTGTCTCTTATCTATCGGTAAGCATTTCATTTGCCAATGCGCTCAGGATTCAACTTCTTTAAATGCATACAGTGGTCTCAAATAAACCCTGAAGCCTTGGTATCCCTCTTTGGCTTACCGCCATTCAAGGCTGCTGTGAGTCTATCCACCATGTCTGTGGCCTATATCCGAGATAATTTTTCTGACGCAATTCCTCCGGTAGTATTTTCCGTTTGCCATGCTTGCTTTGGATTTTATTCGAGGAGGCACGAAACTTGCGTCGCAATCACTTTCAGGTATCTTGGCCGGATATGCCGTTCACTATCTTACATACGTCTACCCGTCCCCATCCAATGGTGGGCAGAGACCATGGTTCATGTATCCACCTGCATTCTTGGTACGACTTCTGGATGGGCCGGGCCAGACCCCAGGAGGCGGTCAACGCTTGGGAGCCGGAACAGCCTTTGCTCCACGTTCGCGAGGATGGGGTGGTCAAGCCCCTGTACAGCCCGCCGGTGGAAGCACTGTCGGGGCCGGAAATGCGAACACTACTGGACATCGTTGGGGAAGCGGAAATCGTCTTGGTTGATGTTGATTGTTTCTAGTGACTACTTATGATCCCTTGGCATGTAAAAAAGCCAGTGCCAGAAAAATACGGATTGTTACTTGCAATATGTATACGGATTGACGTATTGACCTCACGCGGCCGCAGCCACTCTTGGAGTTAACGTCGTGCGCCGGGAAAAAATAAACTCCGAGTACGGGAGTCGAACCCGTCTCTACCGCGACCCGGTCATGAGAGGCGGCCATACTAGCCGATATACGAACTCGGACATTGTGGGACATTGATTTTTTACGCATTTGACACTTCTCAGAGTGCTCGTTACAGGCCGGAGCCCAAAACCATCTCAAATCTGCCGACACCCTTGAATCTCATTTTCACTTCAAACCATCATGTCGTTCATTTACGAGTTACCGACGCCAGGAATGGTCAACTTCTATCATCTACTCACAGATCCCACCGGGTCACGCACAGGTCAACTCGCGGCTGCCAACGCTTCGAGGGCTGCCATGAGAACCACACTGAAGGAATGCAAGCGATCTGTGGGCCCGATCAATTGGGTCAGGGTAGTGAGGGTAAGCCCCGCTATTATTGATCGAAAGAACGAAGAGGTCTCCAATGGTTGAAATTGAACTAGGTCATGCGCTGGGCTTTGGGCAGATCTGACCGACATACGTGTTTTTACAGGCTCTTGAAGATTACCTGCCCCACCTTCTTGGTATCATGAAGTCACTCGAGATAGACGATCTTCTGATGCCTAATGAAGTTGGTCAGTCCTTACCATCTCAAGGATAAGAACCATCATGGAGGTGTATACACGCTCGATATGTTATGTGATGTCTGACGGGTTCCAATCGTACTAAGTCTTTAGTTGGAGATCGACCTTGTCATCACGTAGGCTGAAATCGGCCCCCAGAATATCCCTATCGTCTTTGTGAGTCAGCTATATAAGTTGCTCGTTCGATTGAGGTTGCGTGGCTGACCGAAGTCTAGCTAAAAATAGTCATTACGAATTGGCCTTTGTTCTGCTCACGCTCGCTTTTGCGCATTCGAATACCGCAGAAACTACTATTGCATCCATTGGTCAATATGAACTGGGTAGTGAAACTGATCGACGAGCGGGCGATGAAAAACTCACCACGGCTGTTGACGCACTTTGCCGTGCCAGCGGTATTTTTGATTACCTTAGCAGTCAGACAATTCCCAATTGGGAAGCATCTCAGCCTGAAGGCGGTCGGCTCTTGCGCCAATCTCGTCCCCCGGAGCTGTCCAGTGAGCTTACTGCCGGTCTGGCTAAGTTGAGTGAAGCGCTGTTCTCCTCCACTTAACTTTGAATCTTCATGACAATTTGATACCGTGCGGTCACGTTCGAACAGAGCTTGTGTGCTGTGTTTTAATCCTTTCTTTGAACGCTCGTTAAATAAACCACATCGGTGAAAAACATGCAAACTTATCCAGTGTTTTCTTTTTGCTGTTTTCGAAACTTTTCAGGGTATCGTTGGCCGATGCCGAAAGGCTTGCTGTTCGGCGTCTTTTGTCAAGATCAGTCATGGAACATCACACAACTCCTGGCGCAGGGCTTCCCAAGTCTCATCCCTCACCCGGTCTTCTAGCCAAATTGCAATTGAACATCCACACGCTTTATTCTGGTGCCTTTGACTCGCTGTCACTAGTCATCTCTGGCTCGGGAGCTAATGCGGAGGTATCAGGGGCATTCCGAGACTATTTGCGTGACGGTCGTCAATTTTCACTTGGCTTAGGGTACAAATGGCTTGGGATCGATGCAGGAGAGCAATCCAGTCGATACGCGGAAGCGGTTGGTTGGCTTAGTCTTGCACGTGAGAGCTTAAAAGCTGTTGGTGGAGGGGGGCGGACTATGGTTGTTGTGAGGAATGGTGCAATTAAAAGTGAACGAGCACGTAAGAAGGGAAAGACAGAACATGAGTTGGATGAAGTAGACAGGTTCATGAAGGCTTACGAGCAAATAAACCGAACGGTAAGCACTTTTAAATCAGGTTCCATGCAGACGAAACGCTGATAGATTGTTGTCATCATGAAGGTCACGTTCGAGGCAGTACCATCCTCTGGAAGTCTACTATCGCGCGTTCCAGGAGGCAGAGCTGCCCTCAGCCCGCGCGCCTATACACTGCCAACAGCCTTGCAGCGCGATTTTGGATCAAACTATACCCCCACGTCCGGTGATATAGCGGAGAGTGACGAGGAAGAGGAAGGGGGTGGTGGGGTGGATCCCCAATATGCACTCCGAGATTACTATTACTGAAAAATTGTACGACAATACTGTGAGAAGGATCTGGTCTCGCTGACAGTTAGCCTGGTGCTTCCCCATCGTTGTGCTGCTAAGCTCAATGCCCCTTGTATACAAACAAAAAGACGTCCAGATAAACTATCAACATCAGCTGACTTTGTATCAAGAGCTCCTGAGAATATCTAAGATTCTATATAAAACAACTCGCTGAAAACACTTCCAACAATTGCTCAATTGCTCAAGTTCATTGTGCCAGATTCATTTTATGGGCCTCCAGTCATCTGGTACCGGCCATACATAGGACTGCAAGTTTGGAAATAGCAGGCCGGTGAGAGATATGTGCAAAACTGCATTTGCCACAGAAGAGAGCTTCTGCAGTTATACAATACTCAGTTTATTAGGAAATCTGTTGCCTCGACTGTGAAGCAGAGAGGGCATGCGCAAGGTGTGAGTGACAAAACAGTAAAGACTGGATGGAATCATTCCACACTCAATAAAATGTACCTGCAATAGCTGAAGGTATGTGAGATCAGCAACCAGTGGGCTGACTCTTCATGGGGTTGCACGTCTCTGATCCTACATATGCGAAGATATACTTTGGATTATCTTTTTCTTGGACTCATGGAAGGTTACATTTCAGCAAATACATCACAGTCATCTTGGGAGCTCAAGCTGTCTCAGCTAGTGGGAAAGAGCCAACATTAGGATTCGACTTCGTCATCAATTGTTATCACCACACCGTCATCATTGACATCTGATCAAGATATCAAGTCATTATAAAGGTTAAACAACTCTTGCCGATCATTCAATCAGAAATTTGAGCAAGTCAACAATTTATCAAGACTCGAAGATCCCCAATAAGCCTTCAGTTGCTACAGTCAGCCCAATCTTGATTCTTGAATGACTGATATTTTCACCACTGTCTTCTGTTGCCAAAGCATTATAGAACGGATTGGACCATTTCAGGTCAATAATTATCAGTAATCTGACCTATGTAGGTTATTGTTTGGAATTGAAAATAACCCGACTGGATGATGAATCCTCCGCTTGTGCTTCGTAAGTAGTCGCACTCGTACCCTACCATGCTTATGAGGCCATATACAGCGCTTTCTTCATGCAGTTTCCGGTTGAAGGATAGATATCACATTTGAAAAATTCATAGGGAGCCGCTGCTCGCGAGCGAGAGCGCGGAGCTATGTCGAGTTTATCCCTGGAGCCTGAGGCACAACTAGCTAACGCCAGCCCCCGCGGAGTGATCACCCTGCGCCCTTTGCTTCGAAGGACGCCGTGACCTTCGGTTCTTGTTAAGTTGAGGGGATAGTTTTTGTATTGCAGAGCCAGGTAAAATGTTCCAGCGACCTCATTGACGAGACAATGTCCAGTGAGGCATTTCATTCTCATCGAAGGTTGATGCCCTTCGTCCCCGAAACAAACTACGCGTTGTAAAACACAATAGTTGTGATTTGATGAGCTTATGCACTCATAGGAGCTGGTGTATTCTCCCGCACCTGTGAATAGTGAATTGACAGGCAAGGCCTTTGTCCACCTCTTCATACCCAACGCCTGATATCTTATCCACTATACCAAGACCAACCGGCTGGTCCGGAATAGTTCAAGCTGAGTTGAATAGAAATTCCCTTCTCAAGTACATTATTCAACACATTTACCGCCTTGCCAAGTCGCCACTGTTTTGCTGACCATCGTGTTCCACAACAGTACTTTGCGTTATCGCCCAGTTGGTGTCAAAGTGTTGGTCACTTCCCACTTGCAGGGGGACGGATCCCAACCACACCCGATCCCCTTCGTGACTGTCCGGCCAGTTGAGTCTAAGCATGTCAGTCCGTTCAATTCATGAGATCATGAGCTCAAAGATTCTCATGGGATCAACGAAGCTTACTTTCTTTACTTACACCTACTTCCATTTGGTGATTTGCACTGTGGGCATCTTCTAATCATCCTGCTCATACACATCTTCTTTTCTGTCTTTACTTGCCACATTGGATACACGACTCGTATATCCGCTTTATAGCTTGCACTCCTTTTCCCGCGGTGGCTCACAACGGTGAGTGCACTGATACGAAACATTCTTCTCTTGCACTTCTGTTTGTATAAAATCAAAGATTTTTTCCACATAGCTGGTCAAGCTGATTCCATTTTGGGAGACCTGTGCGCTCAGACACTCCAGCAAGGAACTTCTTTCTAATTTTTGCCATCCCCTTTGTTCTTCATTACCTATAGACAACCTAAATAGAGGCAAAAGTAGATCTTTTTACACATCTTCTTCAATTTTACGAACCTCAATTATTGCATTGCAATTTGGAAGCGTCCTTTTTCTCTCAAGCGGTGGGCTTTCTAACCGCTCGTTCCTCATTTCTTTCATCTTCACTGACATTCCACCTGCGTTTTGACATCTCACTTATCTTTTTTGGCTCCATTCCTTCCTGATATCTTAGTCGTTGTTTCTAAAATCCTCAGTACGGTTTTTATCATCACAAAGCAGATCCAATTGCAACACCTTCGTTCTTTTTCGTGCCGCTACTTCCAACTTTATCTTTTTATTTTTCCTATCTTTAGCCTTTGACACCACCAATAATCAAATATTCGACCTATTTCTAGTGCAACTTTCCTGCTCACGTATACGACATCTGAGGACCCGCTTCCGTCTAGATTTACGGTAACGCTACCCACGATTACTCATTACAAGAGACTACCTCAAGACATACTTCAGCTGAAGTACCCTTCAGATTTTGCTACACTCTCTTGATCATAGTCCCCTCACATCACATTCGAATCGGACCCTTTCAATCAGATCAGATTGGTATTATCTTCTCCCGGGTTTTCCTTCGCAACCTTCGCCTCCCCACCCTCGCGATACCACCTTTTTTACTCATTTCTCCTCTTCGTCACTAAGAACCGTCACATCTAAACTACATACGCACATCTTTCGATTTCAAGAATTTTCATTATGTCGTCGTACGCTGCCAGATCCCACGCTCAAAATGGCGGTGTTGATCAGTACTCTCCGCCTCGCCACAATGAGAACGGTAATAATTACAATGGTGCCTACGGGCGAGATGGTGCCCCTGCTTCCAAATTTATGACACCTATCGAAAGTGTTTATCATCCACCAGCTCCTCACCGCCCAAATATTGCACCCGCGGAACATACTTTACCTCAATCTCGCTTCCATCACGGAGAAATTCCCCTCGGGCCTCAACAGAACACTACTTCCGATTGGAACCCAACTGCTTCCCATCCTTCGCGCCGTTCACCTTCACCTGCTGCTGGACACCCACGTTATTGCTCTCCGCTACCTGAATACCCTCGCGGTAGAGCTTCGCCTTCATCTCCTCCCATGTATTACGACGCTGAAGGAAATGAAAAGTATCATGCAAACGATGCTTCATTCTCCGCCCCCAAGCCTGTATTTGTCGACCCTGCGCCCAGACCCGTAGTCAACGCTGGGAACGCATCTTATTTACATGGTCAACCGATGGGAAGCGACAAGACAATGAGTGAGAAAGGTCCCATCACCAACTTCCGGGACGCCGATGGCCAGGACGTTTGGCGACGGATTGGTCATGAAATAAAAACCAAACCGGATGAGTACGTCCACACCCTAATGACTGTAGCACCGCCGAGAGTTAAGACACTGATTGTAATATCTTTCACCTTATTACAGCACTTGGTTGTCCAGAAATGCTGCTGCCGGTAATAAATTCAAATGTGGCACGTGGATCGTAGCTGTCATTGTACTTGCGGCTATTGGTGGCTTTATCGCCTACATCGTTCTACGTCATACAACTCCCAGCGCACCCAGAGCTCGTGAGTTAATAGCACTTAGTGATCACCATCACCTCATTTTATAAGAACTCATGTTTTTTCCAAACCTCGTGCATGCTCCAGTGACCTGGGCAAACGGTGCAGCAGAGGTTCCCACCTTTGGTGCAAACTCCACTACCAACGCCAACTCTACTGTGGCAAATGTCACTCCCACCCCAGGCAATGTGGCTGGCCCAGCAAGCCACAGAACTTTGGCTGTTGCCGTCGCTGATCCCAACACACCTCGTTCGCGTTCCAGCCGACATCGTGCTCGCGCGTTGCATCACATCGACTAGGGACGCCCTTACACTGGGGCGTTGCTCGTGTCAAGCTTTCTCGGCATCACTTTCAAGCTCTTGCTATCCCCTCACCCGCCATTGTAATCAAAGCACCCCACGAATATTCCAACTGCTCGCCGCACCACACTTCATTCATTTATATATTCGTTATTCCAGTGGTGTGGATAGCTCACCCTCGTTGATAGTATTCTACTCGGTACAAGATTTTTATTCAACAAGTGACACAAGGCATTTGTTGATTTTGATCAATCATACTACAACCACAGTAACTTGGTTGTCAACTTTCATTTTTTCTTTATCTCGTCTTATCCTATTTCTCTTTTCTCATGGTGCATATCGCCTTCGATTCTTCTTTTCATTTTTTTTTGGTTTTTTTGGCTTTTTTGTATCTCTTCTTTGTGAACTTATGTAGAGTGAATGTGAAAAAAGCATCAACTGTTTACTTATACATACAATATATCAATATAATTTATCGAGCTGTGGTCTTTCTTGCAAATTCAATTTTTATGTTGCAGACCCTTCACACTACATATGGTTTTTTGTTTATGATTAAAAGTTGAAGCGATTTTGCATTTGGACACTAACGCCAAAATTTACCACGAAATATATAAAACTTCATCTCACACAAACATCCATCTCAGAAGAAAGTTGGCATTTAGGCTTCCTCCTGGCCAGAAACCCATCAAGAAGGGTTTCTGACGGCCACCACATTTTCATTTTCTCCCCGCTACTTGCCTCCCGCTTTGCAGGTTGTGTTTCAGGATTTAATTTGCTTTTTACTTTGCATCTATTACTGAAACCCATCCTGGCACAGATCTTACATCACGTTTCCTTCTGTGTCATATCTGAATTCAGAAAGTTGTCAACACAAGTTCAGCTGCTTGCAACATACATGATAATCAGAACCTCTCTGTTTTCCAACAATTTTGTATGTTACTTGCAGTGAAATGTAGGTCCTTTCCAGATACATTCAATTAAAAATAAATATGTCACATTATCACTTGTTCAACAAGAGAGCTTTCTCAACAACATATCATGTCTGATCCAACTTGAAAGCACAAGGACCAAAGTCTAAGTCTCAAAAACCCATCCTATCTTATTACACAAAAACACTTGTAGAATATCTCTTTCAGTATCATTTCTGTCTGTCTTAATTTAATGCCAGATAATAAAGTTTGAAAACTCAATACCAAATCAATCTGATTCCAAGTTCCAACATGGTCATTGAATCACATCAATTTTGTATTACAGATATTGATCTTCTGTGTAAAATTTGTACAAAGGTTAACTGGTTTACATTCTGATGTGAATTTTCCTTGTGTGATCAAATTGAATATCCTCTCATTTACAACATTCTCACATGTTTTCTTATCTTGTTAATATTGGTTTAGCATCCAAATGAGTTTATTCCCAATTTAACTTTTCATTTATACATTTTCAAGAAACAAAATTTGTAAAACCTCAAGTAATTTGTTTAATTTGTTGTTGTACATTACTTAACATGTCTTTTTGATCTTTGTAAGTCTTTTTTTTCTTGTCATTCATAAATCCAGTAAAAGTTGATTTTTCTTTTGAAATAATTGACTCTGAGTATATATTGTACAACATTGATCTAGATGAGATTCATGATTCTGTTGAATTTGATGATTTGAGTGAATCTTGTTGGGATTCTCATTTCACTCACTTCATATCTGTATGGTAAGTGTCAATTATAACATGCACAGCTTGCAATATTTAGCACAGCATCCACCTACATATAAGTACTACTACTTACACATCTAATATATTTTGATGGAGAAATATAAATCATTATGAAGACCTCATTGATACAGACATATTCAGTCAGTCTGTTCTGTTGAATTCTCGAAGAGCTTGACTAGATAGATGAAGGTGAAGATCTTATGATTTAGAAAGCTGCTCAAGTCATCAAAGATTTTCAAGCAAGTTTATCAGCAAAAGAAGAGCCCTATGGCTTGAAATCTTTAGTGAGTGGGGTTGTAAGCCAAGATATTATTATCATGTTACCAAGCCATGTCTAAACTTTTCTGTGAATGAAAGACACTAGTTTATGAGTGTGATTAGGTGTGATTTCAAACTTGACATCAAGGATCGCTCTAGGCTGAGCTTGTAGAAGGAATTATATTTATCTGTGATCTCAACCTAGCAGTATGTAGCCACTATATGATATAAGTATAGATATATATCAGCCGGGTAGGTGATCATTGTCATTTGTAACTGATGCACAAGCGATTGCACACGGAGATTGACAGGTGGATTGACATTAGCTGAGAAAAGATCACATATTTTTCTTCACATCCGAAACATGAAACTGGTCCGAAGCTTTAGGTGGGTAAGAAATTGTAGAATGAGTGAATGATCCGGATGACAAGATCGAAGAAAGAGAGAGTTACAACTGATTGGAATCGAGTGTGAAGGAGAATGAATGGTCATTGGTCAGCAAAGAGAGAGAAATGTAGAATTTAATCTGATGCTCTATAAGTAAGAAAGTGGTTGAAGTTTAAGCGAGATTGAGAGTTCCCTTTGAATGTTGATGAGCATGGATATTGGATTCCCTTTGATTTTAAATAAATTCTTAAGCCAGTTGTTCTCCTGAATTTGAATGATACATAATCAGATTACAACAAGTTTAGTTAAGTATCTTGATTTAGTCAAGTCTTTATCAATCTCTTATTCTTATCTTTCCTTCGATCAACTGGTTTCATTGGATTTTCTACTTTACCAATCCAATCCACTGTTATCTCATTATTATTCTCAACTTTTACTTATCATCATCATCATCATCATCATCATTCTAATTTCTAAAAACCTATCATCCCTGATCATTTGTTATCATCTTACATTTAAATCATCACTTTGTTCTGAATTGGGTCAACAACAACGATGACTAGCTTCGAGCTCAACAGCCTTGATTCTCAATCATTCTTTGTCAATCCAACTCTTGATGATGATAATAAACGTTTACAAGAGTGGTTAAATCTCGATCAAGCTGGTGATGATATTGGAATTCCTGATAATCCAATCCAAGCTTTTGTTCAACAAGATTCAAAGTCAGTCTTCTTCACCTCTCTCCTCTCATCTGTCTAAGTAGCTATGGATTCTAACACTCATCTTTTATCCATTTTGATAGTAGTTATCTCTTTGAATCTGACAAGTTCGACACTCACTTTGCTACCAATGCTTTTATGCACGACTCTCAATGCGATCCTAACAAGCTACTCTCAACTCATCCTTCAACTCAAGCTCATCTAGATCAATCAATCCTCTCACTCGATCCATCAGTCATAATGGATTGCGCTCCTCATGACCCTCAAAATATCTCCATGGCCTTGAACAATCCATTTCATCCAGAATCTAATAAGCTACCTTGCCCTCAATCGACCATTGCACCTTCATCGCTCTCTCCTCAGCTTGATCAATCAATCTCTATGATCAAGTTATCATCCGAGCCATCTCAAGAAGACATTCTTGTCTCATGCTTACCTCCGAATGCGGATCGGCCTTACCCACTTGACCCCTTGCTCGCCTCAGCTACCTTTTCTCCTTCTGCTCAAAACAATCTTCAACCTCCTTTTACCAAACCTCTTCCGTTATCTCAAATTCGTCAACCTAATCAAAAAACCAACATTCCAAACGACGAGAACGAGAATGAATACATGAAATCACCATCTCGTTCAGTCTCTTGCCCTACAGAAACTTGCGAAGAGACTTCCGGCTCATCAAACCACAAACGTACACCATCACATCCACACGCTCTGATTATGGTACCGGAATGGGAAGACAGACCAAGTGCAGAAGAGTATAAAATGCTAAGTAGTAAAGAAAAGCGTCAACTTCGTAACAAGATCAGTGCACGTAACTTTCGTCATCGTCGCAAAGGTTTGACTTGATTTTAACTTTTCAACTTGAATGGTTATGATGATTAGCTGATTTTGATTGATTTGAATTGTAGAACATATCTCTACATTAGAGCAGCAACTCATCAATCGAGACAAGACCATCGACTCGTTACGTCATGATCTCGGACAAGTGAAAACTGAGAATGTAGAATTGAAGGCAGAGATTGATTTGCTCAAGACTAAGTGGTCAGATCTCATGAAGAAGATTGAAGAAATGTCTCTGGGTGCTACCTCCACCGCATCCTCTCTCACCTCTTCACCTTCGACACATGCACAACCATCTTCCACATCAATGCCACTTTCACCACGATTACGTTCTGCTACTAAAGCTAGTATGATGCTACAAATGCCTAATCTTCATAAAGATGTAGGAACTCATAGTCGTAAACCGTTCAATGGTGTTGGTGGAATGACGGGAGGTGGCAATGTTGGCGTTCATACCACGTAAGCAATTGATCGAAGTGTAAAACCAAGGCCTATGCATTAACTGACAGCCTGGTTCTTCTGCAGTCTTATTCCAGATGTACCCATCAATGTTTATGGCAACCCATCGGCACTCAAATCAAGAATATCGACTGATTCAACCATTGATCAGACACTTTCGCCACAAGCCTTGATCGAGCAGAAGCACTTATCAAAATCAGACACCAATGCCAACAATTCCGATCAGCCCTTGTTACACCTCAACAACCTTGAAGCTCTTCTCATGGCTTACTCTGCTCCTCTCATCAAGGCGAATAATATGGAAAGAGTTGAACATACAATTGAAAACTTAGGCTCACGTATAAGTCAAATCGTAGTAGATGCATTCAAGTCTTCAAATGAAAGTGAAATAGATGAAGAGAAATTATTAGGTTGTTTGGATGGTAGATATGTATTAGAAGTAGTCGAACGCGCACCTCCTGCTTATGATGCACCTTTATTAGATCAACTTACATTACAACTTTCTAGAATCAATCTTGAAAGTACTTCAACTTGAAACAGATTTGGGGTTTTGGTTTTTTGGTTTTTCAATTTATCTTACTGTTTCATTAAACTCTGAAAAAAGTTTTATTCTTTCTTTTTTTCTTTATCTATCTCTCTCGTGTCTTTTTCATATCTATACGCAATTTCATCAATTATATCTCAATTCTGATTGTCTGCTATTTCCTTATCCTTAAAGATGAAACTAAAAAATTGTTTGAGTTTTAACTTTTTTTGTTTTAAAAAAAACATTTCACCTTGTGATTTACTATATGGTTTGTTTTCTAAAGAATGAATCTATCAATGAATGAATGAATGAATGTACTAAATTTGATGTTTGAATTTGAGTTCCTTGTGAAACTTTTTTAATGATTGATTCTGAATGGCAGGTATCAATACCTATTATGGGTCAGGACCCTGGAGAGATCCTGTAGAGAGGTGCATGATGTCAAAGAGTTTAGTTTCTTATGTTTGCTGTGAATTGCTGTGTATCTCACAGTCTCTACACCACATTAAAAACTCTTCACATCTGTGTAGGTATGAATTTCAAACTTAACAAAGTGTCTTGCTCCTGGCTAGGCATGAATATGGATCTTTTAACCTTTATAAGGGGTCAGACCTCACAGAAGTTTTAAATTATATGTTGAATTGAAAAAGGATCTCAACTTTGGAGTCTTAAGAAAGCCATTGACATCATGTACAAAAGGGCTAAAGATTGCGGCTACAGGCAATTCAGTAGTTGATCAAGCAACAACCTCACCAGACACCATGACAGTTGAATGTCCTGTGTCTATCACAATATTATGATGGCACATACTCAAGGACTCCTTTGGTACAGTTTTGTTTCCAGGTCAAACCATCATCAAGTAACCTGAAGGAAGAAAAATGTTGGACCTTGGCTTGGTCTCCATGCTGGTGGCCATTGAATATATTGGCCACAGGGCATGTGTGCTGCTAAGTCACTGAAAACTACAATCTTTAAGAACTCATCCATACAAATGTAAGTGACAGACACTGTGGTGATGGTACTCTAAGAGAAAAATTAAGAATGCTGGGGTTCTGAAATGGATCTGATACTTGAGCCAACACCCAAATTAATCAAGTGAATCCACTCTTGGGTAAGTCTTAGCAGGAACACTCAGCACATGAAGAGCATGAATCCTTGGGTTTTCTTCAACAAGCCTTTTGATAGTGATATTTGGAATCAATAGTATGCTCAAAATCAGTACAAAACATGCTCAGACTCTCATATGACTTTTTGAATTCACTCAAAATCAAAACACGTCATTGAGCTCATCATGATCAAGAGAGCTCAACAGTATTTGTGTACAAGGAAGCAAACATCGTAGGGTTAAGATATAAAACTGCTTTCAATTACAAACATAACATTACTGATACTAAATATATTGTATGTAGAAGCTACTTTTTTGGGTGAAATTTTGGATAGAAAAACAACTTTGTTGGTTTGAGAGAAATGAGATGGAGTAAGATGTGAATGGCCAAACGCATCTGTCAAATCAGCAACAAAGCTACACGATAATACACCAAATTAAGGAATTGAGTCAAGTGAGAGCTTATTGCAATCCGTTGGCTTGGTTCCCAAAAGCTTGCTTGCCAGAACCCTTAAGATTGGGAGCGAATCTAAAGAGAAGGCAACAAGTTAGTATAAATCTAGAAGTCGGCGATGGCTAAAAAGATGCAAACCTGTATGCTGAGCTCGCTGGCAAAGGCTTGTAAGGTTGTGGGATTTGCTTCAAACCGATCTCTTTGGCGATTTTTTTACCCAAGTCTTCGTCGACGGTAAGGAAAATAGCTACTTGGTCAGACTTGATCCGTTCAACACTGACGTTGCCAAGATGTCCAGAGACGTTCTTCACAAATCTTTCTCTGGCGCCATCGTCAAATACTTTCGACCAAAGAGCACGAGCGGGCTCAAAGTCAAGTTCTGTCACTTCTGACAAGTCTGCCATCGCGTGCCCTATGAAGACCTCGTGCTCCAAATTGTATGGACGCTTGGGATAATTTAAGGGCTTGATAGTGCTCTTGTAGTTTGGTCGACTGCCTTGGTTGTCCTCTAAAGCCATAAGACCGTCTCGTTGAAAGTTGGCCACTGGATTGATGGGTTTATTTACAGGAAGTTGTGTATAATTGGTGCCCAAACGGTACAGGTGCGCGTCGTTGTACGAGAATAGTCGGGATTGCAAGACTGGATCAGCCGAAGGTTCCACTCCAGGAGGCATATGAGCAGGAGAAAACGCAGATTGTTCAATCTGGGCATGATAACTGATGCAAAGTCGGGTGTTATTTAGCAATCCATGTCAGCGAGTGGCAACAGGAGAAAAGGTACACACTTGATAGGGTTTTCATTCAAAACTAGCTTGGCAAAGGGACGAAGAGGGAAATCCTTGTGGGGCCATATCTGCGAGAGACAATGGACATTCAGAATATGCTGGTGATGATTATATCACGCACGAGTCTACTCACCTTCGTCAAATCCAAAATGTTATACCTAGATGAAAAAAAAGTTAGATCAACAATTGAAGTATTCCATTGAAATATCAAATTCGCGTACCTGAAACTCTCAGCCTGCTCGGGAGTCATTTCTTGAATGTAACATGTCCAAGAAGGATGATCGCCTTTTTGAATTGCTTCGAATAAGTCCCGAGTGGAATAGTCTGGAGACTCGCCGGCCTTCTTCACTGAATCCTCTTGGGTGAGGAAAGCCCCTCTAAGCTGATCAGCTAAACAATGGATCTGTACAAACACGGGGAATCAGATTTACTATAAGCGGTAGAGGAATCAGAGGCTTGAAAACGGACTTGGACATATTTGAAGGTGCCATCTTTATTGACAAACTTGAAGGTGTGGCCTGAGTAGCCGTTCATCCCGCGGTATCCGTCGGGGACACCTCGATCTCCAAATAAGATCATCACTTGATGGATGGACTCTGCATTTTGAGACAAGTAGTCCCAGAACCTGATTCACAAAGCAGCTTCAGCACATCTCCTTCTCAACAAGTATCTTATTGAGCTCGACTCACATGTCAGGGTCATCACCATGAGCGAGATGAGATTGCGGATCTCTCTTTTGGGTGTGGATGAAATGTGGGAACTTGACTGCATCGCGCAAGAAAAAGACTGGAGTGTTGTTGAATACCTAAATAGTAACCAAAGCATAAGACGTTTACGCTTAGGCGCCGAGACTTGCGCCGGAAGAAACCAAAACCAAAGATTCAAGCATGAGACAAACCCAATCCCAGATACCTTCTTCAGTTTTGATCTTGATTGAAAATCCACGAGGGTCTCTAGCAGTGTCGGGAGAGCCACGTTCACCCCCCACAGTGGAGAACCGGGCTACCACAGGGCTTTGTTTTCCAACCTTGTTGAATATAGCGGCGCAGCAGATATCAGAGATATCGTGAGTAATCTCTAGGTAGCCCAACGCACCCGAACCTTTAGCGTGAACACTTCGGTTGTCAAAATAAAGTGGACAGTTGGTTGCATTAGCCTTCACGATCAATACGAAAAACAAAAGAAGTTATCTTACACTCGCTCAGGTATTCTCTCTCGATGAAAGCTTTGTAATAAGTCTATGTGATGGTAATCTTGGAGTAGCAGAGGTCCATTTCTTCCGACTCTTTGAACTTCATATGGTTCTGGATATGGATGTCTACGGTGGATGCAAGATTTATGGAGTCAGTATCAAGACAAAGAATTACAATCGATCCTCGAAAGGTGAAAATGGGCGAAGGCGGAAAACTAACCCGCCAGAGGTAGTATAAACACCCTCATCGGTGGTTTCATAAACAGCTTTAGCAGGCATGATGAGATCTATGATCGGTTTGATTGGATTTTGCATCAACCTATTATATAAGAAGTAATGTACTCTCTATGATTGGTCAGGAGAACGAGATGAGAGGTGAGTGGTGGAGAAAACGCTATTCGTCTAGGTTAGTCAGTTCTTATATAATAGCAGTTTCTTTTGTGAACCTCAAAAGGTAATCAGCATTTCACCTTGCGTCATTGAGTGACAGTGTGCCTGATGAGATATGACGTCATTGAATGATGGATTGACTGCTTATGTGAATGATGATCAACACACCACTTCATTCACTCATTCATTCATTCATTCATCTTTGATGACTCATTTAACCGCCAACAGTCATTTTCATCTCTTTATTTACTCAAGCCCCCTTCATCGCAAACATTTCATACAAACTCATCATAACTATCTCTGGCCATCGGAGCTTTGAAGTAGCATATATGTAAACGCGTACGGGATTATATATGTGAGAATCGAGTGACCAGTCTCTTATAATCATTTTCATATGAGCTCTATAGATTCTATGGCTTCAACAATCACATAGACCAGTGTACCGTGAGCAGCCCAACGCGAGACCGATCAGGTTCATCAACGGACTGTATCATCTGTTGATGACCACAAAGTTCAATCGTAAAAGTGATCAAGTGAGCTCATGGATGTTCCAGTTGTTATCCCCAAAATATGAAGCATACTAGATGTGACAGAAGTCATCATGGGCCAAATGTGTCGTCTTGAATTGCTTGTATTCTATTGTGACAAACCGCCCCAAGGCCTTAAAGTACACTACATCAAGAAATCCGATTGACGTTTCTTCAAGGGGACGGTGATGCATACCACTAACGCCCTTCCTCTACTGAGCGAGATATCGAGAAGGCAATAGGAAAGTGCTCTTTCCATATGTAAGGGCATGGCCAACCCACTTATACTGTTTTCGCCAAGCAGCGGGACAAACGGGAGTGAGAGAGCCGCTAAAAATACTTGATCATTTATTTGTTTGGGTCTTGTACAACCACAAGTATGAAATTTGAGTCTAGAGCGTGAAATGATTGCAAAAGGATATCAACATGTGATCTTTAGGAGTTAGTAAGGAAACAAAGGGAGGGTTCTGACCAGGGGTAATGAGAAGTTCATGTAAGCGAGTCCGGATGCGTAAAAATCTTAATTGATCCTGATTTGTTCGTTGGAAGGATTTGAATGACATTAACAGATCGACTCAAGAGTCGTTCAGAACAATATTAGCAACATAGAGTCTTGACTGACATCCACTTCCATCCCTTCAATTGATTTGCCCATAGCCTCGACCATTTTCCTAGCTTCCGAGGCATACCGCCTTAGGACGACCAATCCATCTGAACCTTGTAAGATCGGTCCAGCTGATCGAATCACAACACCTTCCTTATTCAAAATGATCACCGCTCGTACATTCTTATGTTGAGAGAGACGTTGAATTGTGGCTTCGACCTCAGGTGGAGCTGGGACCGAAGCTGATGACTGATTGATGGTCTGATTTGGTGCTGAAGAAGAAGTGTTACTAGTTGAGCTACCCGGAGGAAGAAGTGTGTGTGATTGATTTGAGGTAGGAGGAGCTTGATGAGTTGAAGTCTGACTGTTATCAAATTTGCAAAGGTTATTCAGAATGAAAACAAAATCAGTTCAAAGCTCTTTGAATAAAGTCGTAAGACTTTCATGTTCGGAATAGAATAGCTGACCATGTTGATTTCGGGTGGTGGGGGGCTTATATCGAACTTCACGCTTGGTGATCGCAACTTAGATGGAGCCCGAGGGTTGGCTAGATTGGTTTTAAGGTCGGTATGGAAGATAGCGACGCGGTCCAGGCAGGTCCAGCCTTTGATATTTCTGGCGTTCATATGGTGAATTTGGCGAAAACTAGAAAATCCGAGTTCGTATATCGGCTAGTATGGCCGCCTCTCATCCCGGTGTGCGCGGTAGAGACGGGTTCGACTCCCGTACTCGGAATTGACTTTTGCATCTCGCGACGTTTGTGTCGATCAGCCTGCAAATCCGTGTCGCTCTACGGTGTTGGCCTTGGGGCACAAGTGAGCGGGCTGATGACGTATTCTTTTGCCGCTTCGAAGTCCCGTCACCATGTTCACCTAGAAATTGAAGATTTGCCAGAACACTAAAGATTAATTGCGACGTTCAGTATATGTATGGGCGAGAGGATACAAACGCCCTCATAGGCTTGATCACTGAGGCAATTCGAGATGGAATGAGATGATCCACGCGTAACACTGATACACCATCTTACACCATAGCTTCGTCGTCCATCAACGAAGCCGCTCTTAGTGCGGTTTGCTTGAGCCCGTCCTGTTGTACAGAGAGCTAGCTTGCCTCCTGGGCTCGGTCGTGACCACTGAGGCTTCATGTCGTGGGTTGCCTGATGGAGGTTGCGCCTGGCGTCGAGTCCCGGATAAAATAACCAAGGTTACTATTGCTGCTGTCTAAGATCATGTGTGGCGCTGATAACAAGAACGTTATGTCTTCAGAGCGTGACGACTTCCGAACCTCGGGCTCATGCAATCGAAATATATGGAAGTCCTTATATTGGCGTGCGGTTGAAGGGTATCGAGTGCTGTCGAGAGAGGAAAGGTTTCCATCAAACATATAAGACGCTCTGTAGCAACAATTCCTTTCGGCAGTGGACACAATAATCATTATTTTTCTGAACCTTTGCGAGATCTTCGTAAATAATATTTCAAGCCTAGAATCGGCGCTCGATAATCAACTACACAATTGTCACTTTGACTAATCCAATCCTCTGCGCTAATAAACTTCTAATCATTCCGAAATATAAGACTCCTCCATCTCCAGCTTCGGCAGAACGAGGATCACATTAAAACCCACAAATTAATTGACGAGAAAAGTTCGATGATGTACTTCCAAAGCAATCAAATCTGGAGCATCCTCCTTCTTACAAGCATTTTAGGTACGTTCATTCTATTCCCTATCCTTCCCTATCACAATATGTTTCGTGTGTGAATGACTCGATCCACTTCTGGCTTCTTCGGTTCGACGTAGGGCTGGCCCTGGAAGCAAAGAGCGTACCAAAGCCAAGCTCACAAGACAACACGGGCGTATGTTTCTTGGTGGGACAATCGTCTTTACCATCGGATGTGGTTGTAAACAAAGAGTTGGCAAAATCATGCATAGCAGGTTCTGTAAGTCAAAATGATAAAATATGTGATGCAAGCATTTACGGATCATAACTCAATTTGTTGGTTGCCAGTCGGCTTTCCCTGATGAAAAAACACTTAAAAAACTTCCGGATATACTTTTTAAAAGCGTTAAATTCGTCAGTTTCCATCCCTTTTTATTTCTTCACACTGACGCGCTACAACAACAATTTAATTTCCGTAATTGACATCATCTTCGGGTCTAAAAACACCTTTTTTCTTGTGTGTTCTAAAGAGTGATATCTCCTACAAGAAAAGGAAATCTGGTGCTTCCGCAGTTCGATTTGCTATAGACACATTTGGAAAGAAGAGCAAAGCAGAGTTGGAAACGGCGCTCCAGGTCTATGGTGCGATCAATGCAGGACTCAGAAGTATTGGAGATGGAGCCGCGAAGAAGGTCTTGGGCGAGTTGAAAGGGTGAATACATACTGATATCTCCAGAGAACGTTTCTGGGTGAACTGACAACTCTGCCACACCTACACTACCCTGCATACCTGGGGTATCAGTGTAAATTTTTTTCTCCAGATGCTGATAGGTGTTCAGGACAAGAATGCAGCTGTTGTGAAGCGTAATCAGGCAAAGGTGCTTTTGAATCGGTTGAATCCCTGATACCCCAATTCTAAATACTAGAGTCGCTAATTGACATTTTGTATGACTGCGTTATGCGTGACACAGACCCAGAAGAACTGTTACAAATGCACGCCTCAAGATAAAAAGGATGTGGACAACCTCGCAAGTAGTGTTGCCAAGTAATGTAGGGTGCTATCACTGTTATTCGCTTCCAACTTTCCCCTGACCTAAATCTTTCTTCTTTTGCGTAGCATAAGAGATTTTTCCAACGAGACAGCCTTTGAAAACCTTTGTATCACACCGTCGATACGATCAGTGTCCTCGACTTGGCATTTTCCTTGTGTAAATGGACTTTTTGCCCACTTTCTGATCACCCCTGATTCGAAATAATTGTTGAATGTATTTTCATCTTTGCGAACTTTGATCTTTCCCTTGATGTCTCTTCTTAACTTGGAATAAGCTTCATAGTTGGATTGTAATTACCCTATATGGACTGGAATCTATGGGTGGAATCTTAATAACAGCAGAAACTCCCTTCCTACATATCAGAACTTCAGTTCAAACCCCCAAAGCACCGGGAAGAATATTTCAGGGCCATAGCCTCATTCAAGAATGACCTACAACCGTATACCTCGGAGTGGAGGAGGTATTTCCGCAAATTGCGAGATTTGCTTAGCAAGACTATGGAAAAAGCAAAAAAGAGAGTAGGAAATCAGAAATGTTAACATACAGCAAGGTATATGCATGTATTCAATTTCATTGAGGTTGTCGAGTATTGGAGCCAACCCTCTATCAAATTGGAGAGAGATCTGAGGCACAACTCTAAAACCTATAGTATAACTCTGATCAACACCACCGGCGCTCCGCCCGAGATAGCGCGGGTGGTGCGGTAGCGGAGCGCACGCACCGCCCGCGCTAGGCCCTTTTTCACATAGTGGTTTTTCGCCCGCACTATAGCTAGGGTCAAACCCTAAGACATATAGCGGTTTTCGCCCGCGCACCGTATAGCGAATTTTCGCAGTGCTACATGTCGCCCTAGTGCCTTAGAGCGCATAGCGACAGGGCGCCCTAGAGCGCCACATAGCGCCCCAAAACACCCCCTCGTACCAATAGCAACCATTGAGTTGACCTATTGTACTACACCACCACACCCTCTGCCCTCTCACCACCTCTCCTCTCTAAACATATATCAACTATTCGAAGGAACCACTCCGACCCACTACACCACCTCAACATCGCCGAGTAGCAATATCAACTATTCGAAGGAACCACTCCGACCCAGTACACCATCTCAACATCGCCGAGTAGCCTCAAACAACATCCTCCAAGGATGCTACTGACTCCTTGGCGATTCGAGCTACTGATTCCATGGCGATTGGATCCAGCGGTTCGACCTATAAAAGGTCATTCGATTTGCGGTGAGTCAAGAGTTCCCCCACCGCTTATTCATCAGCGTTCCTTTCCTTTCCTTTCCACTTGCAGTCTCAGTATCTTTTACTTAATACTTTCTCCTTTTCCAAATAGTATCTTTTTCAAGAAAATCGCAAGTCCTTGTTATCATGAGCCCTGCCGCCGACTCCAGAAGCTATACCCAAACCACAATCCAACTTGATCCTCCTGATACCCTAGCTTCATCTTCTGCCACTTCGACTTGATCGCTTCGAGTACGGAGCCCAGTCCGACCTCGTCCTGGCTTTGTTGCCCAATCATCCGACTCGCGTCGAGCCCTTCAACTACCTAGTGTTGACGAAGATGTTTCGATTCCAACTGACGATGTAAGTGAATTTGAAACCGAGGATGATCAATCAGACGCCACCTCAATCTCAAGACTCTCAGAGACGGCTTCACTTTGAACTTTGCATATCAAGAAAAAGTCACTCAAGCCAATCAAACGTGCTATTGGCAAAGGAAAGCGCAAAGGATCGGGGTCTCGTAATGTTTCAAATTCATCACAGCAACGTCTAGCACCTGTCAAGAAGAAGAAGAAGCGAACCACGACCAAGGCCACTGATAATGTACTCGAGGTAGGTCATTGATCCATTTCAATCGATGTCTTCTATTTTCATTCTATCTATTCACTTCATCTCTCCAATCCTATCTTCCGTAAATTCTATTGCCATCTAATTGACCTCTCCTTTGAATTACTAGGACTACGAAGTTCCTGAAGGTTTGGATGTTCATCAAGACTCCGATATCGAAGTTGTTGAGACGCCTGGAGTTCGTCGTGCCCATCTTGGCCGGGTGAGCAAACTTTTGGATTACTATGACCCACCAATACACATCAAAGGCAAGGTATGTGTATCTTGTCTTTCATCTTGGACCTTGTCTCTCGCAACATGGTGAGGATGTGACTATCACTAATGTTATTGTTTCTCTCAGACTGGAGATAATCCACGTCTCTTTAGATGTAAATACTGCTGCGGATATTTTACCAAAGGCCGGCGCAGCTACTACAACTTATACTCCCATCGCGATGGATCCAAGGATCGACCTTCATGCCCCAGAAGACACCTCGCGATCAGAGAAGGTCAAGAACTCCCTCGCAGCTGGAGACAACAGCAGGATGACATCGCCCGTGTCGCCAATACACACCCCAGATCCACTCTTGATTCTTTCTTATCACAATCGACCTTCAGTGTTGAGCTTCTCAACACTGTACTGGTCATCTGGATCCTTCGCCATGGGCTACCGTTTGCCCGATTCAATGACCCTCCTCTTCGAGCAGCATTCAAGTTATCTAATCAAACTGCCACGGTGAGAGGTACCACCTGGGCGTCTGAGACTGCCAAAGGTATTTACAAGGAGCTGTCCTCTTCAGTCATTGAAACGATCAAGGTATGTTATCTTTTATTTCTATGATCAGTCTCAAACATCAGTTATTGTACTGTATTGTAAACTTACTATCATATTCACTTTCCACATCATCTTTTCATAGTCGAATCAGAGCAAATTTTGTTTACTTTATGATGTTTGGACCACCAAGGGTGGACGAAAGGCGTTTGTAGGAGTCTCAGCCACCTACATCGATGATGACTGGAAATATCAAACTCAGCACCTGACCCTGAAGCTGGTGGCCTGGCATCATGCTGGTCGATTGCTCGCCCAGCCAGTTGGCAGGTTTTTAATTTCAAATGGTTTACATCACAAGATAAGTGGTTTTTATCTTTCTCAATTTATTATTTCTTTATATCTTCCCCATTTGAGCTAACATCAACAATTGTCTTACATGTTAGCTCAAACTACGGACTCAGGAAGTTCAAATAACACGATGGCTCACGAGTTATTGGCCATGTTTAATGATTGCGAGGATCCGGTCGAATGGGACTCGACGGAAAATCAGGTGAAGTGTTACACACACAAGATCGGACTTGTGGTCAAAGCGGGCCTCAAATCTCTAGGCCTCAGTGCAGGTCACATCAAGCCAACAACCCAGCCAGGCGTGACGTTACCCACACCCATAGTGACACTGAATGATGGTCAAGATGAAATCAATTTTGATTCTTCCAAAGACAATATGGACGACAATGAGTCTATCCAAGGCGTCCGAGTGGGCCACATTCTTGATGACAACCTGTCAGACTGTGGCTTGGATCAAGATGAAGACCTATCCCTTGCTAATGTAGCTCGAGCTGTTCGAAAAGTATGTTTTGTTCTTTTACTTGTTTTCATTTGCTTGTTGATTGATTAAACGTGTTTTGATCATTATTTTGATTTGCTTTCAATGGGGTTAGGCCAAGCTATTCAACTCACTATGTACCCGAAGTTCAGCACGACGCCAGGAGTTCTTGGCTAAGGCCAAACAGTTGGATTATACCGGGCGCTCACCTATCTCTGGGTGGGGAATACGTTGGAACGTCGATGTGGATTATCTCAAACGCCTGAGCGATGCGCGCGATGTAAGTACCAGTGTGACCGTTGATTTACTATATTCCTTCCATTGACTATGACCTTTCGATCTATAGGTCATAGATGCTATACTCCTCAGTGATCACAAGACTCGATACTACCAAAGTATCTTTATAACGCCTGAGGAATGGGATTTGATCGAGATATTGGTGAAGATACTTCAGGTTGGTACTTTAGGTTATTTTTTGTATCATCGTGATGTGTTAGATATCTTTTCCTTTGTCAATTCATTTGCTTACTCTGTTTCCTTCCTCAGGTATTTCTGTATGCCACCAAACAAATGGAGGGCAATTCAGCAACTGGCTGTGTCCTACTTGCAGAATACTCGCGGATGATCCATGATGTCGAAGTGCTTGAGAGTCAGTCGGACGACATCGAGTTGAAGAACATGCTGAAGGTCATGATCACTAAGCTTGAGGGTTATCAAGCCGAGGCAGTTGCCTCCAATGTGGTTGTGTTATCAACCATCATGAATCCCCGATTCCGCCTACGATTCTTTGATATTAACTACCCCGATGATGTTGTTCGAGCGAAAAGTCTAATCAGGGATGCCTTTGAAGAGGCATTAGAACAATGGCCAGCTGATCCGGTCACTCCAGCATCAGATGCTATTCCCCCAACCAAAACACCTTCCCCTTTGGCCTCGCCACTTCCCACCTGTTCAGCGTACGATGTATTTACCACTCAAGTCAACTCTCAGTCGGCAGCCGACAGACGCCGAGCCAAATATGTAGATTACATCGAAGGAGCTCACTTGATGGTCACAGGACAGGACGAGCTCGACTGGTGGAAGGTGAGATTGGTTTTTGTGCTCGAATTCACCTGTGTTGCCATATGCCAGTTCTAATACTTTGGTTTTACTTATAACTTATAGGAACATGAAAAGGATTTTCCAGTCCTTGCGTCGATTGCTCGCAATTATCTCGCATTGTCTGGCACAACTTGCCCCTGTGAGCGAACGTTCTCATCAGCGGCTGATATTGCTGTGCCCAGTCGTGCGTCCCTAACCGCAAAGATGATTAGTAAGCTTGTCGGTGTGCGCGAGTGGTTGAAGAGCTCAGTCACCCTATCCGGCAAATATGCAGATGCTTGGGCCTACGTGCAAGCTTATCAAGGTCAGCAGGCCAAGGGTAAAAAGTAGCCAAAATGGTGGCTCTGAAATCAATGAACTATGTTTTCTAAAGTTTCTCTTTTGATATTTGATTTTTACTCGATCACCCCTCTGAAAAAGATGTCTCAATTGATCGATCATCCCCACTCTTCCGCTCAAAATGTTGCTTGAAAAAAAAATAAAAAAGTTGTTTTCTTTATTTCTTTATTTCTTTATTCTTTTATAAAATTTCCTTGTCTATAATTGTTTGCTCTTGTTTACTCGCTCACCCCCACTCTGCCGCCGATAATGAAATACGTGTGTGTTTACGGCTAAAACGAAAAAAACCGAGCTACTGCACTATTTTTCACTATCTTCCATCCAAAAATACCATAGCGGAGCGGAGCGGTTTATTTATGCGCTCCGCTCTCTACTTACATAGCGCCTTAGAAAATATAGCGTAGCGATCGGCGATTTTTCATAGCGCCAAATCGCGCCACTATGAAAAATCACCGATATAGCGGTGCGGAGCGGTGCGGCGGTGGTGTTGCTCTGATCATGAGCAATGGTAGAATGCGCTGGGCAACTTTGACCTGATATGAATACATATTTTGAACCCATTCTCTGAGAATATTTAGCTTATCTCATGACTGCATCAACTCCCCCACATCCCACCATATCTGCATGGTTTTTTTTGTCAATGAGTGCACATTGACTCCCTTTGTGCCCAAAAGGTATCTTGTGTCTACTCCTTGGCAAGCAAAAACTACGCCAACACAGACCTTCAAACTAAATAAAACATCCCTGCCATAAATCTTGATCATTTTAGAGGGCAAAACTTGAGATCATTGACAACAATTGTGACATTTGACTTTGGTCACCTTGTGTGTGATTTTTCTTAGGATAGAATATACATTGATGGTGATGCAAATTGTCTTGCAAAAAGTTGTACACCAAAAACTTGGTTTGGAGAGAGAGGTGGAAATAAATATGTAGATTGATAATCAGCATCTCAATAAGCCAAAACCACTGTTCCTCGAGTCCAGGGCAGGGGTAATCTGCATCCCAGGACCCGGGAAAACACTTTGAAAATTGAGTGAGTGGTTATCTTGTTGTTTGTTTTGGTCCTATGTTATCTCCTTTATCTACGGATATGAAGGGATCTGGACTATCTTCAGACAAAAGATCACCTGCTCTTCCATCCTCTGGACAGGTAAATGCAAATTATGATTCAGTTCCACAAGATTTGCCAACTAGCAAAATCTCAAGGGACTCCAGATAATCAAGTAACCTATTCAATGGAAGCAGACCATCAAGGGCTTCATTGCCCAAGCTGCAGCTCTCAATCATCTGTCTTTAATGAAACTATGCCATCCCATAGCATTGTTTTTCCAATGGCAGAATTTGTGCATTGGTTTTGAGCTGCATCCAGCATGAAACACAAGTTTGAAAAAGTTGATCCCTGTGTGGTGCAATCCTGATGTGAAGATGGTGGCAGATTTCAATAAATCACTCACTGAGAAGGAAAATGGGTTCTATTCTGAAGCTGTCAAATTGGTTTTTGCTTGTTCACAACTTTTGACAAGACAACCATGAAATGGGGAAAGCTCAGTGACCAGATTGGACGCAAGCCTGTCATAAGGTGTGTTTGCCTGGCGCTATATATCATGACCACCATCATATTTGAGTTCAGTCAAATCTTTGCACAGATGCTGTTAACCAGAGGCCTCAGTGGTATCCTCAATGGTGAAGCACCACTGCCCTTGCAAGTTGTTATACTTTGGCTGATTGTCTACTTATGTCCCCAGGAAACTCTGTGTGTGTGTTTTCTCAATGAAGCACTTGGAGTTGGAGAATCTGACACTTTGAATTTGGGATATGTCTAGTGTCATCAAGTCAGTAAGTCAAAAGAGTATTTGATCTCCTTGAGGGTGGTATTCATCAAATGTTGCTGTTGGCATTCCAACAGATAATGGGCAAAATGACAATGCCCAAGAACCAAGCCTAGGAGTTTTCCTTCCTGCCTCTGAGCTATGCCACTGGCTCTACAAGTGGCCCACTTGTAGGTACACTTCATGCTACTTGGCACCCTATTTATGGCAAACCAATGATGCCAGAATCTTCCAGGTGGCTATCTTCCACACCATTCCGGAATATTTCCTCATAGCTGATTAGGTCACACTCAGTTCTGGTACAATTTTCCATGGGTATGTACATCCCTGCTTTGTGGCTAGCATTATCCCGCTAGTATTGTGTGTGCTTTGTTATGTGTACCTGGAAGAGGTTAGCTAGTGGGGCCACTATTGCACAGCTGGTACTCTTTCTGACCTAGTGATCATACCAGACACTACCTTTGAAGAGGTTGAGAACTCCCATTGAATCACATAATTTTGATGCCTCAAATTGTGAAAGTACAACACACCTTCTATGCAATAGCGCAAATTCAATCTATCATGGTTTCAGCATATCTTAGGAAATTTTTACGCTGCTGCAAGACCACAATTTACGTAAAATATTAGTCAACTACTTGCTATCATTAAATAAATGTAAATTAGTAAAACCCCCCCTTCAAGCAAAATATCAGCACTTATGCCTTAAAACTAAGCACATAAGCACCGACACTCTACTTGAAGGTTCGACCTTACAAATCTACACCTACGCCGTACGCACCTCATATTCAGCAACCAGAAATCTTTCGAAATCATGATATGCTGGCGAGGTGCGCACCGAACAATCCTCTTTCTCCCCTCAAAGGCCCCTCTATTTATACTCGACATTTACACCTATTTTTCCTCACACGCCGTCTGTTCTATGTTCTCCGCATTAAGAATCCACTCGGCATCATCTCTATCCTCAATTTCATATATCGCTTCCCCAAAGCAACATCCATAACTTCTATAACCGTCCTTCTTGATTTAACATTATCAGTTTGACTCATACTAACTGACTTTTGCTCCATCTGTTTTTAATATTTACCTACTACGTACTACATCATACCTACCCCTCCAAGTGTACGTCTTCCTGAATAATCACTCAAACATTTCTACATGCACTCCAACTCCCTTATCAGATGTGTTATACAATTTACGTCTTATCATTTTACCATTCCCGTCTCCTGCCTGTACCATAAATGTCTATGCATCATCTTTATCTCAAGTTACATTGAACAAGATAACATGACACATTTCCTTTCGTGTCACTTATAAGTTCAAATGCGGCTTTCCATTATCAACTTAATCATCAATGCTATTTTATACGGAATTACTCTTCCGTTTCTCGCTCCCTTTACTTGCATCCTAACCTATGCACCAAAAGATTGTTATCTAATTTCGGCCGTACACATCTGAAGTACTTTCATCCTACATTTCATTATCACACTCTACGCACCTTTATTTTATGCATTAACACGATATGTCCTCCACTATAACTTGCATAATATAAGTTTGCCTTATATATCTCTCCTGGTCATTAAGTTGGGAAGTAAACTGTAGTTACTTTCGAATTTCAATCGCGTGCGAATCGCCCAGGACCTGTGACATGATATGTCCCGATTCTCCACTCCTGTCTCTCTTATTCCTTATCCTAACCCCTTCAGCCATCCATCGCCCCTCAGCTTGTCCTTTCCGCATCAACGTATCTCATTCCATTCCCATATGCACCACTATTGTGATCAATCATCAGAGTTGATTAAATTTTCTCATTGTGTTTGATTTTATTCATGTCCTTTTTAACTATTTTAACTTTTGAGAATCGAACCCGATCCACATTATAATTCAGTATAATTCAGATCATGATTCCATTATGAGAGAACCATCAATTTTTATTAAATAAAATGAAGAACATCAACTCTGCTGGCTATGCCTGAGAGACAATTTCTGAGGGCAAATCAGCTCAGCAAAATTCAAATACTTCTTTGATGACTTCGGTATACGGTCTGGAGAATTGGGATCGCCCCTCGAAATCGGAAATCGAAATGCGATCAACACTTTTCAACTCAACTCATCGTCAACTATGCCTTCTGAGTAAATCATTCTCAAGTTCATTCACTTCCCAAAGATCAAATTAACTATCATTTCTACAAATTACAAAACTTCAAACTAATGCCGAACTTGAAAGAGAACCTAAAAGTGGACCTATTAGTTTACCTCTCCTCCATCATCATCATCTTCATGAAATTCTAAACCAAGACCACGAACAAGTAATGGATTAACCAAATCTAAACAAGTCGTAACAATTGTAAATCAGCTCAATCCACTCTAAACATTCAAATGATCACCTGATCCAGAAAAACCTAACATTTACTTTTTTTGATTTTGTTTTGTTAGACCCCTAAAGCTATTAAATACCTAGAAGAACTTTTAAATCCAACTAATTCAAATGAAATACCTGGAAGACTTGCAAGAGTAGGAGTCAGACAAAAATGTTGTGCAGGAATTATGATCTATCATGTGTTTCAAGTGTCGGTAGCTTTTCTTTCCTAAATGTAAAAGTTAAAAATACTTATTGAACCAAAAAAATTGTTGTTTTTGTTTGTTTTAAATTAGCAAGGAAAGTTTGATGAAATTGTAACAGGTCAAACTGAAAATGGTCAACAAGTTGAAGTGACAATCAACTCTAGAGCTTTATTAACTATAGTTGGTAGTATAACGGAACATGAAGAATGGTCACTTGGCTCTAGATTTGTTTTTCACAGTAAGCTTTTTCATTATCTTTTTTTTGATAAACTCATTAAAACTTTTGCGTGAATTGATTTTTGAACTTGTTTACTTTTTGCTATGTGCGTTTGTTTAGATGCAAATGTTAAAGAACATGTGGATGTGGTGAAAGTTTCATGCTTCCATAACCTTTTACAATTTTTGCTGTATAATGGAGAGTCAAAACTATTTTGAAATCATAAAGCATCACTTCCCTTTAGTTACAAAATCCCATCTCAGTATCAACATTTTATATATGTATTTTGTTTATCTTTGTTTTGCAAGGTTTTCTGATTTTTCTTTTCTTTTTTCCTTATATGAACTGATTTAATCATTTCCAAGTCAAGTAACATACCATATATACAAAGTGTATATCAGTAGAAGATCTTTCCATCATGCTTTTCTCTTTGATTTTTGTTCTCTTTGAAAAACCTTCCAGTTTGTATATAAGCAATTGATCTATCATCTGAGAGTTAGTTGGGTTTAAAACAATGAGAGATTATGGATGTGTTCATCTTGACAATTTGTATCTACAATTTGGGAGAAAAAATAATGCATCAAGAAGTCTTGGAGCTAGGAAGTGTATTTTTGAATGACATTTATGTAGTCTCTCTTTATCTACTCTTTAACATCCAGAGTTGGATAGTCTAAAGACCTTCACCTAAATTGAGATTTGAAATCTGCCAAATGAAGTCCACTGCTGTGTACATTCATGCATCTAATAGTTCAAGCATTTGAGCTTGAAAAAGTGTATATGTCAAGCATTTGAGCTTGAAAAAGTGTATATGAGTACTGGAGCTTATTGCGATTGAAGGCGGGCTAGCCCGCCTACGTTCTAGTTGTTCCAGGTAAATTTATCAATCTGCCAGATTTCATTTCCTTGCAACTCCTGACAAGATATGTGACATTGTCTCCTTATAGAAAATCACATTGGTGGCTCTTTTGGTCTTGTTTGCCTATACACCTATATTGGCTTCTCTGCCGCAATTTGATTTGTTTTAATTCTGATGTAGCATTACTTTCAATACAAAGTGTTTTTACTTACCTTATGGGTCATTTCCACATTCTGTCAGCTATTTCTCTTTCTACTTCAGGAGTTTGTACCATGATTGTAAAGTTCATTGTTTTCTTCATTACAAAAGAAATATGGAACAGTCAAACTTTATCACATATGCATGTCAGCATACCCTGTAATATGTAAGTAAACTCATCAATATAATTTTTCCCTATCAATGTAACACATTTCTTCTCCTTTCCAGTTCTCTTATTTTGTTTGATTCACTTGACTGTATTTACTGAGCAATCTCAAAAGGAAAGACATTTTATTGGTGTATGTATGGTTGGGCATCTTATTGGCTCTGAAAACTACAGCAAAAATTGTATTTTGTAAGCAGATTGATTGCAGACATATAGCTCACTCTTGGCTTGTTGATCAGCTCACAGCCTCTGACTGCAAATGCTTATCCTCCCTTTGATCCCATCCTCACAAACTGTACAGCTTGCAATATGATACTCATCTTAAGTTCTGTTGTGCCCACACAAGGATTGCTTGGGACTATCAATGGCCTTGCCCAATTCTGTGCAAGGCAAGTGATTTTTGATCAAATTAAAACCTCAGAATAACCTTGACTTACCCTTTTGGGAAGATTGTTTTGTTAGAGCAATTGGGCCCATCACAGCCTCAGGCATGTTTGCACTCTCAGTATTGCACAACAATTTCTTGGATGGCATTGGTAATACTATGTTTTATCTTTTTGCTTATGTTGCACTGTTGGCTTATTTGAGCTTGCTCACTATCCAAGAAGGTGGTGAGCTTTGGAGGGATAATCAACATTGGCCAGAGTAGCATTCTTCTGTGGTGTGTCTATTTCTATAGACTGTGGTTTCTTCATATGTAGGTAATCCCTTGGATCATGTGTTGCTGATTGATTTCTGGAATTCCAAGCAGTCATCTCAGATATCCATGAAATTAGATTTTGTCACCTTCTGCTCAATGTTTCTGTAGCATCATTCCATATTCTCACCTACTTTGGACTCCACCATATTTTGATACCAACATCTAAGCTCTCCTTGCAAAATCAAATCCCAGCTGTACCAGGGGTTAAGAATGGCTTGGGTGGCCATAATGCCTGTAGAATCTAGATATGTAGAGTACCTCAGATATAAGAGTTAAAGATTGGCGAGATCAATTGCAGCTATCCCAGTGTATATAGTAAATCTGAGAGGCCAGGGTTAAACACCACAAAGCTTTTTGGCAGAGTTCTCAAATTTGAAAGCAGCAGAGGGTTGCAAAAGAGAAACTTGATTCGGTCGGATCAGGACCGGACCGGACCTTCCTTCAATGTCTACCACGGTATGTACATACTGCATAAACGGTCTGACGCGCTCGCAAAAGCTTGCAAACCGTCTCCAAAACCAAAAACTATCAAATTATATTTCTCCTCGTTGGCTGTCTTCAAAAGATTGGTCATCTCTGAACGCGTTGCATACATCAGAACAGCTCCATATCGTAATGGGTGCCTACAGGATCGAGGTGGGCTGCTCACCTTGTAACTCATTGCACCCGTGACCTAGGCCTTGTGAATTCCTGCTGACGGTTTTCCTCACTATTATTGTGGCTTCATAGTATTCTTCGAATAACCGAGCCCAGTGCAATGGAAAAAAGCCTTGCAAAGGTAATCTAAAATGCGCTCGATTATCTTTACCATATCCAACTCCTGCTAAGAATCATCCACTTTACTCTCATGCAGGAACGAAGATTACTAAAGGAGAGATCAGAGTAGGCGTGTGGGTGGTTTTTAAAGAGGCTGGGTCATTTAAATGGAGGCATTGGGGCTGTTGCACCGAAGCCGTTAGTCCCGATTTTATCACCAAGACTATACCAATTCTTTGCTTTGGGATTGACCGAAGAGGACTACGATAGATGTTTGGAAATTTGTCAACAGAATTGGATGGTAAAATAGAAGAGTTGGACGGATTTGAAGACATGAAACCTGAGGACCAAACTAAGATCAAGAAAGCTTTTGAAGTTGGGCACGGTGAGTCTTTCTCTCCAGCTGAAAAATTTGGTTTGGAATTCAAGGTGACCAACTTTTTGGTTTTCTTAGTTGATCCTGCGGATATTCCAGCTTCGGCCATTGCAGCTGAAAAAGAAGGAGAAGAAAACAAAGAAGAGGACCCCAAGCCTAAAAAGCGAAAGAAGGCAGCAGCAAAGTAAGTTATAATCGACAGGCGTGAATTTGAAGATCTCAATCCGTGAATCTAACCGTTCGAAACATTCCGGTTTCGACAGAAAAGGCCCTGCCGATAGCGAGACTGCTGACGTCCAAGACGATGTGGCAGGAGAAGAAGAAGATCTCCCAAAACCAAAGAAGAAGAGGGCGCCCGCAAAGTAAGCGCTCGCCAGCTCTTGAATGACATCTTTGATCAAGTATGATTTGCTCAACGTCTGCTTTTGTGCTCAACAGAAAAGTTGCAAAAGTCGACGATGAGAATGTCGAAGACGCCGACAAAGATGCTGCGCCCAAAAGTAAGTCATCTATCATTATCATGTCAACGGTGCAATGGAGTTTCTTTGACTGATCTCGCTGTGCGGTTGTGGTCAACTCAGAAAAACGGGTTTATAACAGGAAGAAGAAAGTAGAGGAAACTACCGTTGCATCTGGATCTGATTGACCTACGTGTTGTCGGATAAAGTCTCATGACCTTTCAAGGACAGATTCTCACCTTCTTATTGACCCACAACTAGTCCTTACCGTTCATAAGCGCTCAACCTGCCGGCAATGCCGCAAGGCGCATATATCATTACTCAACCTATGCTATGACTTTAATATCTCGTTCAAATATTCATCTTTGTAAACAAAACTCGTATCTGTTCAATGCAATTTCCATACCTTTGTCGTCAAATATGCGCAATTTGTAACACTGCACATGGATACTACTACGCAACACATTGGCTTGACAGCTGTCTTATAGACCATCACAGATGTGGTACTTGGTATGAGTGGCTCAAGGGGATCAACTACATATTGCATGTCAATCCTAATAAATTACAAGTGAATGATGAGATATGTTTACATATAGCAGAAATCACAACGGTAGTCACACAAGCAATCGCACATTTTTGAAAAGAATGGAAGGCACTTTGATGTACAAACATGCGTATTCAAGCTGTAAATTACTTATCGAGAAAGGTGATAAACAACAGAATACCATACCACGCCAATTTGATTACGTATCGTTCACTTTTCATCATCACAGACGTTTGTGAAATAAAGGCTGAGGTGATTCATGAGTTCATGAGTTCAATGATTTTTTTCAGGACCATGTGCCTATAAATTGAAGTGGAAACTTACTGTCTTAGCATCCGTGGCTTTCCCTTTCCCGGCGATATGGGTCATAACTTCCATCAAACTTTCATCAACTTCCGTGGTAGGTCCGCCTTTTTCTCCAAGTTCAGCTGCCAGGTCATCAATCTTACTCATCGCAAACTCATTCACCAAGTTTTCATATCTGAGTGTCGCGCTTAGATCCTGTATAGTTGCATCCTGAGGGTTTTCATGGAAGTTTGCAATCGAAGGTGAGACAGCTATGTCGCTCTGTCGTTTCTGTAGACTAGACAGACGATCAAAATATTCGGCCAGCTTGGTGGCTTGTGAAGAGAGTCCAAGCGGTTTCTTGGTATCTGGATCATAGACTCGAGGCGCTCCGGAGGTGATGACATCTAACTGAGTAGAGACCGCTTTTAGACCGGCCAATTTTCGATCAAGTGCTTTAGAAACAGCTAACAAAGAAGCATGATCGTCTGTGACCTATACGATTCAGTCATAGTACGAGAGAATTCAGAGCTTGGTTAGCACACTTGCAAGTTGGAATTCTAGTGGCATGCTGCATAGACAAAGAAAATATGATAGAGAGATCCAAACTCACTTGAAGATACTCTTGCTTAGCCTTCTCCAAGTCATCCCATGTTTTTGCCTCTTCACTCTTAATCTTTTCCCAATCAGGTTCCAAAGAAGAAGTTTGATGACCAATAAACCTATCGTCCTCAAAAAGATGATCCCAAAGTTTCATATGATCAAATTTGAAATGATCCAGTAAGCCTTCTGAATGTTTTGCAGGAAAAGCAAAGATATTTCTATGCATCCAAAGTTCAACTAGATCAAAATGTCGATCTGTAGCTGAACATAGCAAAGTTTCTAAAGAGTTGATAGATTTCGAAATATCATCTTGGGATGGATAAGTTAAATCTGAATTAAATGAGGATCGTACGGCTTCTTCAACTGAGTCAATACTATCAAAAACCGCGTCATTAATCAGGTTGAAAAGATGGCCTGTCAATTTGCAACCATTTCAAAAAAGCATCAGGATATAAGATAAACTTTGATATTCATTCCTATACACATATATCATATTGAGACTGACGTGTAAAGGTCTTGGGAGCGAAGGCAAAATGTTCGGCCAGCAACTCATCAAGTCGGTAACTGTTGGCCAAAGGCGGAAAAGCATCCAGTCGCTGGTTGGGGTCGAAATTCGATGGCGTGACTTGATCAGCTGACATCTTCTTCAATGAGATAGGGTGCCGATTGATTGAGGTTGTTGACTGTTGGTTTGAGGATGATTCAGAATATAGTTTTGCTTTCGTTGTTGGCGTGTGGTGTGATGTTGAGCCTTCAAAGAATCTCGCGTTTTGCAATCCAGGTGCGTCATGGATCTGTCAGTCATGCGACATCTCCGAAAGCAAGCTGTCAGATGTGATAGGCAAGTGACACCACTCCAGGAAGTGTATGACATGTGTGTAGCTCTATGATGACAGTCCAGTGAACAGTCGATCGAAGAAGACCACCAGACCATTTCTCTTGGCATGCAGTTGATGGATTATGAGCACCACTTCTTTCATACCATCCTGCAATCCCGCTTGACCGAAGTACAAAACGATGGCGATGATGAGCTTTCACGATGGCTCTAGTCAAACCGCAATTCAAACATCAAGTCTCGATCAATCAGCCGCTGATATCATTCTACTATCCACTAGCTTAGGGAAAAGTAAGAAGATCACCGACAAACTGAGTAAAATGCTGACTGGGTTCGACGATGTATGTAGGCCTTTGTTCTTCCTGAATCACCACCTTCGGCTATCATTAACTGAATTCCCACTTGTTGATGTAGAGACTTTCACGTTTGGAAAAAAGCCTTGCACCTATCCACAGCGACACGAGGACTCTAACACGTATAAATACTAGTGTGTATGAATTGATCTTAGATGGGATCCGCCACACGATGATTGATAGGATAAGACTTTCCTGCATGATTGATCTACACCCACAGACATTGAAAAAACTTTGAACGCAGTGGATCAAGTCCTCGGCAATCACGATGCAGCCCTACGCCAACAAATAGTCATCAAAAATGGGTTCGTGATGTTCTATTATAAAGTATAGTTTGGTTTGACTCCGCAAAGCATCATGCTAATCAAAAACTAGCTCACTCATTCGACGCTAGACCTGACCCCGAAAACTTGACAGTCTTCACTCACGCAATGGACGAAATTGTTAAATCAGCCAGTGATCTTGTCAGGACAGGGGCAGGGGATCAAGGTTCATTCCAAGAAATCGTGAGTCAAGTAGCCAGGCTTGTTGATATAAAACTTGATGTAATTCGATTCAATCACGTTCTGTGGAACTCCTATAGGAAGATTTACTGGTTTCTGGAGCTGCAAAGCTAATGACAATCTTCGTGGGATGGGCTAAAGGTGTTTCAGAACCTTTGGCGGATGCTAATAGCTACATGACTGAAGGTAAGCTAAGTCGTTATTTTATCTTTCATTTACTTTGATCTATCCTGACATCTTGGATGGTTTCTGTCCGGCAAAGGTGTCCAGTTTCCCTCAATACCCTCTTCCACCATAGCTCAGCTTTCTGGTATATATGTCTATCTAAAGGCTTTGCCATCCTGTCTGGAAAACAATACAAGGCTCAAGGCGATATTAAATGAATCTGTCAACAAAATTGCGGAGATTAGAGGTACCTATGTTGCGGAAAGTATGCGACCATTGGCAAGTGAAACAATCGAATCCGTCAGAAAGGGGGCTGGGGCGTCAGCATTGGCAAACTTTATAGAGTGTCTATTTCACATGCTTCAGGTTGAGTACTTTTCAGATGTGCCCTCGTAGTTCTCTCTTGAGCCCATACTTGATGGACCTGACTCTCTGCTCAAAATACACAGGAAGAATACGCGATGCTGATATCAATGTTTGAAGGAAACAGTACAAAAGAATTGAAAGAGATTTTCGCAAAAGTTGTCCCCGCACCACTTGAACTCCTATCCGAAACTGGTCAATCAGTCAATCGAGTCGTCAAGCGTTCCTTGACATCCTATGTCAGCGCTGCCTTTGATAATTACGAAGCTATATATGAAAGATTAGATCGATATGATGACGAGATAAGAAGGAGATCAGGTCGGAAGGAGAATGAATTGGGTGAATTGTTACATTCATTCAAAGGATCTTGTCTTCGATCATTACCTGAATATATTGCAGATGCCAAAACATTTGGAGATAAGGCACCGACTAGCAGTGAAGTTAGTAATACACACACTTGTGAAATGGTGATCAGTATGATCGAATACCTGAAGATGTTATGTAGTCATATTGAAATCACTGAAAGCTTCCTGATCACTCTTGGAGATGGAAATTGGATATTTCCTAGTGCATCTGGAACTGCTGGAAGGTCTAACGTCGGTGAAGGGGCTGATGGACAGGAACTACTTATGAAATATCTCCGTCAGTTTGCTCTCCTCTTATTCACCGCGCTGATCTGTGTCATGTGCTGACTAATATGGCGATCGCGCTGTGTTTGACAATAGATGATGCTCTGATGACTCTCCTCACGGCGATAGAGTCACGGTCCAAAAATATGAGATTACCCGCTTCTGCGCAAACTACGATCACCAGTACAACAGCTAAAAATGGATTAGGAGCAGTGTTCATGCTCAACAACTTGCATTATATTCGCCGAGAGGTCTTAGAGTCTGCTATCTCTGATATCCTAGGCAAATCAATCGAAGATGAATTGAATAAACGAGTCCGGGCATGCAAGGTAAGGTATATGGAAGTGTGGTCACCACTCATCTCAGCCCTTATGGACGCAGGCGGAGAGGACAGTAAGGGTGGGTTTGGGCTTGGTGCAGTCAAGAGCGCCCTTCCAGGTCAACAGGCTGGTGCAGAGAGAAGAGAAGTAAAAGATAGGCTCGGAAGGTTTAATGATGCATTTGAAGAAGTAGTTAACCTTCACAAGGTTGCTCAATTCGATAAATCTGACAGCGATGTTAGACATCGGCTGCGAGACGAGATTGAAAGAATGATTGTACCAACCTGTATGTATCAAATAGAAGTTATATATCATAGATAGGTTTGTTCTAACGACGTCATACTCTTCAAACACAACAGATGCCAAATTCACTCAACGACACGAAGGCGGCCAATTCTCTAAAAGTGTGTATTCCTTGGGTTTAAGATTTATTGAAGCTGAGAGAAACTGATCATGATGAAAACATCCCCAGATCCTTCGAAGTATCTGAAACTGACCGTGGATCAGCTTGGAGAACAATTGGATCGACTATTCCAATGAATTGATATTCCTCTCAAACAATAAGATTACTGAAGATCAGAGAGTAGTGATTAGGATTAAATGTATTCTATGTTTTTCGGCGTCGGAATATGCAAACGTTGCTTGCTTTATCTTCTCTGTTTAGGATGTATTTGATGTGGTGTAATGTTATTTTTTTGTATGAGTTTTTTTGCAAGGGAATTGATGGAGATGATATATATGATTAAACTTGAGTCATTCGATCTTTATCAGCTTCCTGGAATTAGAGCTGCAATAGTAAAATCTTGTTGTGGATACCTACTTGATGAAGACTTTTGCACACGATTTTCATCATCTGTCTTTCAACCTGTTGGTCAAGGAGATTGGCACCAAAGCACAGCAATGTGTATTACCATCAACAATTTTGTCTTGTTGAATCTAGGGGTAACATATAACAATTCCTGCAGATGAAATACAACTGCTGGATAATGAAAGATTTCAATGGTCTTGTTGAATCCTTACACTCTGAACTCTTTTTCGTGACCTTCAATTACCTATGGGCCTTTGAACCACAATAGGCATGACATTTGGGGTTTGTGGGCTACAGAAGTCCTTGATTTTGGTCCAAGATGGGGCACTCATCACTTGTTGGCGTGCCAGAGGTAAGGTAAAGCTTTGAAGCCAACGGCCACTTAGGTGTCAATTTGGGCCCTTTCACGAGCTTCAATCACACAATGCTCCAGGAGATATAAATCCAAACTTCATTTGATATATTGTATCTTGCCTTTCTGGTCCACTCCTGTGGATGCTTTTTTCACCATTCAATTTTCGGAAAATCAAGATTATAGGATAGACTATTTTGATGGCACTCATCGAGGCAGAGAAGTGAAGGTGGGGCAGTGAACTTCCTTTTGCTGATAATGAAACAAAGTTGGTCCAGCCTTTTATAAGAGGGGTCTTGGAAGACATGTGTAAATCAAATTGCTGTAAATGTTTCATAGTTTTTTCTATCAGAGGCATGTAGATCACTTCGATTCCTTCAATTTCCATTTTCAATACTCTAACCCCCGATTTTATTGACTTCTCTCAAATACCTCGGTCTTGCTGAAAGACATTCTAGTCAACTTTTTTCACCTTCCAAACTCGTATTTCGGCTATTGGCATCTGGGGTCTTTTAGTCGTCTTTACAAGCAGACTTTCGGTCATTCGTGTGGTGTATCTTTCATCTAGTTCGACTGAACCCGCCTGCCCGCTCGCTTTAAGAATAGTACATACAAGCGCTGGCGGCAATTGCATAATACATACTAATCTCACATTCATTCCGTCCGACCTCATTGGATGATGAACGCCGACTTCCTTGAGCGGTTAACAAAACGCGCGCGAGCCGAACATGGCTTGTCACCAACCCATGGCGAAGATGATGATATGGCCTTGGCTCCCATGCTCCTTCCAAGCGACAGTGGTGGAGCAGAACCGATGGATGACGAGGGCGATGAAAGTGAGGAGGAAGAGAATGGTGATATTCAGATGCTCGATCGAGGTGGTGATGAAGGTGACGTTCGGATGATAGGACCAAGCGGCGATTCCAGCGACCATCAACCTGGCCAGCCTGACTCCACCAATGCGATCGCAAATTCTGAACATCCACCCGAAGACATCGGACCAGTAGACGAAGCTGATGATGATGACGATGAGGGTACAACCGATGATGATGACGAAAACCGACCGAAAAAACGAGAAATCATGCCGACTATTCGATTATCTCTGGAACTACCTCGGCTTCCAACTCCTACGTATGCTGCCCGATGCTCTGAATAGTAACACAAGAGAGACGCTATACTGACAGACCCAAAATCGTTTTTATTCGCAGTACGGTTGAGAGGAGTGTTTCTCTCATGGCCAAAGACGCTGGCTACGCACTTCCAGCAGACACAGCTATTACACTTGGAGCCGCTGCTGCGCCAGAACCTGAATTACCGCTCACAACCACATTCCAGGCAGACGGAGGGCCGCCGCCTGTTAGTAAGATTTGTGCTCAAACATCAGACGTCTTTGTTGAAATCAAGTCGTACAAAGCTTCAAGACTTATGTGGCTCACTCTTCAATCATCGCATCATTCTAGAAACGACGGAGAAGGCGGAAAATTTTGGAGAGAGATGAAGGCTATGATCGTGACGATCCGTTTGTGGATGATTCTGAAGCACTGATGATGGAACCGAAGTTTTACCACGCACCCGCCCGTGATGGATTCTTCGTTGCATCGGGAGTCCTCGAGCTGAAATCAGACGAGAAGTAAGTAATCATCATCATACCTACCGGTACCATTTGATTGACACAATCCATCATTACTCTGCATGCCATCAATCACAGAAAGACTAGGAACCGCAAGCCAGCTAGCAAGGTGGTGAAGAGAGCTCCTCTTAGCACAACCTTGAGTCATCAACCTCCAAAGCCAATAAGCAAATCTCAGAACCATCAACCCTCGACCCCAACGCAAGCTCCTCCTGCATCTGCACCCACCGGCTTGAATGCAACATCACAAGCTACCAACAGTCGGCTTGCTGAGAGCACTGATCCTCGACTGCAGCAAGCCCAGGCGAATCAAAAAGCTCCAGGGGTCCCGTCACAAGCTACTCTCCAGGCTCAGGCGCTTCCAAAGACAAATCATACATCAACCTCAACAAAGCCCACAAACTTATCCCTACCCCCTATACAGTCTACTTTCAACAACGCCGACCATCGCACCCCCAACTTACCACCAATCAACTCTATCGCGGACCCTACTCAGACGTTGGGACTTCCAACAAATCCTATCAATCTTCTCGACGAGGACGAAGATCGCTCAGCGGCACCATTGCCAGACGCATCACGGCCAACATCACGCCATCATGAGGGGGAGAAACCTCAAAAGCGAGAGCGCTCAAAAACTTCAGATAAACCGGATTTGGCTACTCTAGATAAGTCAAAGTCGGCTCGATCATCTCACTTGGGAGCTCAAGCGCACACGACTCAACCATCGGGATCCAAGTCAAAGTCCCCGTTGAATTCACGAAGTCCGGTCCAATCCGTTCAATCACAAACTGCGATAGAGCCGCCGAATCTGCCGCGCTGGAGTGATGTATCACAAACAGGAGCTACCCAGCGAGTTGCATCCAACGCACCATCACGCGACCCACCCCCTTCAGCTGGAGCCTCGGATGATACTGGAGCGTCGAGCTGGCCAACCAGATTAAGCTATTTGCGGAATCGATTTGGGCCAGTGCGGAAGAAAGATGCGCCTATAGCACCTAGGCTAAGTGCTGCGATTCAAAAGCTGAAAGTCGAGGTGGATGCCGGTAAGGATGAACTATCCAGCACTAAACTCAAAATTGAACTCATGTGATTCACTTTGTCTAACGTCGCGTGTTTTTTTCGTTCCCATTAGCACTTCCATTCGAACCTAGAAAATTTCCTCCGCATCTGACTCCCCTCACATTAGAGGTAGCTCAATTAGCATTGGATTTAAATGAATACGATGCCGCATTCTTCTCCCACCTGGCTCAGATCTTCCCTTACAATACATTCACCATCAAAGTTTGTTTGATTATCTTCACTGTTATCATCTCTCACCCTTCACAACAAGTAAACTAAAATGAGTATTCTTGATTCTTATATGATTTCATAGAAACTTGTCACGCGAGAAATTCTACCGAATCGAAAAAAGTATTACGAAGATCAAATCGATTCGAGGGTTGAACGTCTTAATATTCTCATTGATGATGCAATGGTGAAGGTCATGGCCGATCACGAGAAGGCTTTAGCAGATTGGAGAGTAGCCATGGAAGAATGGGAAAAGGAATCGAATTTACGCAAGACTGAGCCTTCTACGGTACCTGAACCTCCTCCAACCAATCCTATATCCACCGAAAATGGAGCTCAAGCTATAGATCTAACAAGCGAAACAGACAAACAACGTAGGTTTCAAGTTCATGTTGATCCTTTTGAGATACAAGATTGATCATTCAATCAACTCGATCCCCTCATCTGATATTTTTTGCCTTGATTGATCAGCTAAACCACCTATCAAGACATTCAAATTTACTACAGCTATGCGAGAGCTGTATTACGAAATCCTCAAATTAGAAGACGAACTTTGTGAAACAATTCAGGAAACCCAGTACGTCTGGTTTGATAATCTTTTGAATCCTTCTCCTCTCTCTTGAAAGTATAAAGCTAAAAACATCTATGATTTGCTTGATTCAATCTTTCATCCTCTACCACCCTAGATCACTTGTGGATAAGAATGTAACGTTAAAAGATACGAATAATCGGAAACAATTATACTCGAGAGTTAAGTGTCGATTTATAATATCGATATTTTTTTGGAATCTTTGGGTTCATGTGAACAAACAAAGCTGACGAGTGTAAAAATCGACTCTGAATTTTCAGTTATTAAAACTATGGCCCGAAGGTTTTATGAGTACAACAAAATTGAGTAGAGAAGGTTAGTCAAGTTCTCGCATTCACTCAATGTCGCTTATAACTTGATGATGTTTTCTTGGCTCTACAACTTAGCTACGAACATACGGAGAAAGTATGACGTACCAGTCCCATCTTCGGAACCCAAACCTTCATCATAAAATTCAAAAATGCCATCTTGTTTTATCGTAATGATTTGTATTAATGGATGTAGTGGATTGAATCTTTAAATTGTGATAGCTTCTAGACTGCAACATTTCCGTGGATCACTTGCTACAATCGTAGTGATCAGGAAATAGGTCAATCAAGCTTGGGGTCAATGATGGTCTTGTTTGGATGCGCTGGCAGGATAGCACTGCCAGCATAGATGCCTCGGGTTGAGAAATCCGAGGCATCATCGGAGGCAAATCCTTGGACGGACCTTGTCCGAGGTTTTTGCCCGAGGTATTTTTTTGCCCTGAGAATGGGAGCACCGGAGATTCCGGGGATGGTTCTGATAATCTGATAATGATAAATATCTGATACATTGATAAAACTGTGATAAATACACCTACACCCCCTTAAGTGAAATACATCTACCTAAACCAAACCAAGAATAAATTGGATTCAAGTCAAAAACTACCAAAACCATACAGCCCGTGGTCTGTACTGTAAGATCATCAGCCATGTCACACGCTGTACACCTGCATGACCCTAAGCTCGCTCCTATCCCAATCCAGCATACCCTCTGTGTTTCATGAAAAAAAAATCCACACAACAAATATTTTTGTATAGCCTCCAGATTCATAATGCCAGACTCTGCTCTCACACCATCACCACATACAAATCTCAGCAAACTTTTCTTCCCTCAACTCAGTGAGGATGGTCGTCCCAACCCTAATATCAGAAAAATATGTCAAGGTCAACCCTCACGTCATAGCACTACCAACACCATACCTGAATGGACCAGTAGGCCTGAGATGTCCTGTATGTATGGTTCCAATGGAATACAAGAAAGCAAAAGTTGATTCTTGGCTCATCGGTGTAAGTAGCAAGAATTTTACTTGAAACCTAACCAAAAGCTGAAAAATTTCCTCCAACCCGCAGTGCCCTACCCCTCAAAACGAACACAATTGGAAGACCTGGAGATGTGATCAACTCAACCATGAACTTGCCATGATCAACCTCGGAACTCCTCGACCAATTGTCTCCAAACCCGGTGATTGGGGACCTAGAGTATCAACACAAGGCGAAATCCTTGATGACGTTACCGCGGCTGCGAACTGCTCTACTGGACGACATCATCCATATCCTCGCCCTGTCCAAAAACCACACGTTGTTTGCAAACGAGTCAATGAGGGTTCATTGTCTCAAAACCATAAGGACGCCGGAAACAAAGGGTGTCCATCTCAGTATTGTCGTGGGGTAAGATTGCGTCTCCTACCTTTTTTAATTCAGCAACTGATTTTTTCCTTGATCTCAAGTGTTGCACTGAATTCGGCTCAGCTTTATGTACCAAACACCCACGCAAATCTGTGATTCCGCCTCAGCAACTGGAACTCTTTGGCCATCAAGCTCAGCCAATTGCCAAAGCTGCTACGGCCAACTCTCAATCGGCAGCACAATCAAGAGCCTCAGCAGCGAGCTCCACCCCTCACCAGTGGGCCCAATCATCAAATTCCATTGGGCGCCTGGTATCATCTCAAAGTATGGCCCTGATTCATCAAAATCGAATTGAACGAGAAAAATCTGCACACCAGCATTCGAACCGCTTCGACTTAAGCAAAATGGCCACCATATACTTATGGCTCAATGTATGTGTCTAATTTATTATGCTTTGTCTTATGACATTGTTTGATGTTTATTTCCATATCTTTTTGATGTTTTTTTCCATACCTTGCAATCACTTCCCCGACTACAGGCTGTTGAACCAAAAGCTTACACTGCAGTATTTCCACAGTGGCCTCAAGCATGTTTTGACCAATGCGAGCTTTTGATGCAGGCAGTGATGGAAGCAGTTCCACAGTGGAATCGTGCGCTGAGCTTTTGGGATGAAAAAAATGGGGGATGGGTAAGCTCCATTCAGGCTCGTCTTTCATGTGTCCTTTGCTGATACTGATATGGTGAGATTCTTTATTTCTGTAGTGTGACACACTGGTCCAATATCCACACCGCTTCCGAGCCAACCAACGCAAGATCGTGGCGCGTCTCCAGACGGTTGTAATCCCCCGAACAGCTACACACCACTCCGTAGCCGCCATCTTTGCAAAGACCCCCCCAACTTCCGCCTTTTTATCAACATCAGATCTCCCAGCAATCTGCGAAACTCCCTCTTCACCAACAACTCCGCTTATATCTCAAAAATCCATACCAGCACAACAAACTGATTGCTCACTATCAGTCGCCAATGCAACAGGCTTTCAAATGGACACACAAGGGAAGGATTTCCCTTCGTCATCATCCCAAACATCTCCATCTCCATCACCTACCCCAGCCACTCCGCACATTGATTTGACCCAGTCACCCAATGACTCGGCAGAACTCCCAAGTCCCAGTGACCTTTTATCTGGACCCGTGCAACCATCTGTTGGGGATATTGAAACACGGGAAGATGAGATTGAAACAAAGTAAGATCCTTTGCAATATCTACTTACACCTGCACTCACTGACTGACGGATACTCTACTCTGTACACCAACAATTAGTTCATCAACAACCGAGCTTCAAGGTGGTTGGCCTGGAACGACAGTCCTGGTTTCTACCCTCCTTGCATGGTATAAGGATGCCTTGACTGGCAGACCAAAGCAAAAATGGATAGCCCACTTTGGTGGTGAATGGAAGTTCACTAGCTCCATGTATCGTTATCGCAAATGGATCAAAGAGGTTGATTACGAAGTTATGTTCAACAGGTTTCAGAGTCAGCCTGAGGCAACTGTAGATGAGGCTCGTGATGTTTACATAGATGTGTTCAACAAAGTGGCTAGTCTTCAAGGGGGTTCTTCAAAAAGTTAGAACCCAACGCTGGTCAAATCACAGAGCACCATTAGAATTTACTTTACACTGTTCAATATTGAAACCCTTCATCATTTTTTGCATCTTCAAAGAAACTTCAAAAAAGATCATGTAGCCTGAATTATCAACCGTATCAATCACTGCTCCAGTTTCCTTGACCTTCTGCCTTTCAGTTAGTTAGAGTTTAGCTGGGATTTGCAAAAAGTTTGTATTTAAAAGTTTATATTGTTGCTTTGCAGTTTGAACCTTTTCCTCTTGATGATTATACATTGGTTAACACTTACTTTAAATTGATTCGAACTAAACTCCCCACTGGGTTTTGGATTAAACAATTGGAAGTGTGCACTGTGTTATATACAAAAGTTTTTGTTCAAAAAAGTATAGAAAGACATATTTTATTTACAAAATTGAATCAAATCTTAGATCTCCTTTCATTTTGACAACTTATCTAATTTGACGTATACCTGCTGGTCATAACCCTTTATATGATCCTTTGTATACAACTCCCACGCCTTCCTTGACATTCTTGATTTCTTTAGTTTTAATGCCTTACCCAATTTCACCAACCTGGAAGAGATTTGGCAAGAGGACCCAAACCGTGTCAAAAATGCCTTGGATGGGATGATTTCTTTCCCTGTCAGCTTGTTCTTCGTGGTGGACTTGAGTGTAAAGTGTTTGACTTGCGTTTTCCATAATCTCAACAATCCCATTACAATTATCAAAATCAATACCAACAGCGTAGTCTGATAAACAAAAAATAGAACCTTCAATGTGACAATCAGAGGGGTTCTTGATTATATCGTGAGGCTTGCCGGTTTCTCTATTGACTCTTGCAAACATTCCAAATGCATAAGGTGTGGCATCCTTATCACGATGTGGTTTATTGGTAAAATTATCACGAGTAATGGCCACATTGGAGGCCCAGACTTGGCTATTAGCAGATGTCTCCCATCCTGGAGAGTCGAAAGAAGGGACACTGGCTTCAGCTGCAATCTGTGAATTGGCGGAAAAAGCTGACATCGAAAGAATCGAAAACCTTTCTGCCCAAAAGTCTTTGGCCTGAGGCAGAAGAAGTGAATTGCGTTCAATATCAATCCAAATCTTTCCCTCGGATTTGGATGTTGCTTGATTAAGGGAGTAGTGACCTAATTGGGGTTTCATCAGTCACAGTCACCTAGCTGGATTTAGAACGTAAATATATAGAAGAACTCACAAACATCTTTTCCAACATCGGCAGCTACACCCGCTGCGGAGCGCCAACCCATGGCCCTCATATCTCCAGGCCTATTGACTCCACGAGTTGCACCATTATTCTTCACAAATCCCCTGGAGATACCATGAAGATAAAATGTAGATATTGAGGATTCAAATTGGACGAGAAGCTCGGGATGCATGTCGCTGAACTCGTTGAATTGGGCAATCAAAAGGAGCTCTAGCGATTTTTTGTCAACCAAGACCACGATCCCATGATGGAATAACTTCCTTGGTACTGATGAGGGTTTTTTCTCTAAGAAGAAGAACTTTGCAGTATCTGGAAGTCCGTATTCACAGGCGATTTGATTCCTGCGTGAGATTTCGCGTGCAACCTTGAGTTTGTTGTGTTGTTTCTCGGTGGCTTTGTTCTTTTGAGTCCTCTTCTTGGAATCATACTTTCGCTTTGAGTTGCTTCTTGCCATTTTGGAAAGTGGACGGTGTTGAATGATTGGGATACACAGAGAGTTTTCGAAAGATAGTTGATTAGAATATTCGGTTTATTGTTATTGGCACACTGCCCTCCAGCAAAGAGAATAATCAAATGAGATGAGAGCGATGAAATATTCAATTTATTGTTATTGGCACACTGCCCTCCAACAAAGAGAATAATCAAATGAGATGAGAGCGATGAAATATTCAATTTATTGTTATTGGCACACTGCCCTCCAACAAAGAGAATAATCAAATGAGATGAGAGCAATGAAATATTCAATTTATTGTTATTGGCACACTGCCCTCCAACAAAGAGAATAATCAAATGAGATGAGAGCGATGAAATATTCAATTTATTGTTATTGGCACACTGCCCTCCAACAAAGAGAATAATCAAATGAGATGAGAGCGATGAAATATTCAATTTATTGTTATTGGCACACTGCCCTCCAACAAAGAGAATAATCGAATGAGATGAGAGCGAT